TCCATTAAATTCTTAAATTCTTAAAAGCATATTGTGGACTATGCTGGCTCAACTGACGATGAATGGTAAAAGTTCTTCGACCAAAGTTCCATCATCAACAGCAAAAATTGAGTGAAGCAAGAGCTTACATGCGCCTCTATCTCAAACCGACTCTCCGTCGGAAAAGTTTCATCACAGCAGATATTGGGCATGCTATTAGAAGATAAATTATTTGGTACCAATATTGATAACACATCTATAGATAGATTAACTGCCCCTATTAAGGGCGAGGATATCTCATTGGGTTATCTACTAATTTGAAAGGCTATTGCAGCGGTTTATTCTTCCAGCATGACTAAATCTGTATTTTAAAAATCCGGGTACTGGCGACTCTTTATTTTTATTATCAAGCAATTTCCCGGCAAATTTACCTGGTTTGACTAATCAGCAAAAAAACCTTAAATAGGAATGCTAAGAACTTTTAGAAAAAATTAAAAATGAAAATGGTTAAAATTGCATTTATTTCAACGAATTTGTTGTCGAAGAAAGCCAACAAATGAAAATAATCTAAGGACAACAAAGATATTCGGAGAGAATTCTCACAAGGCGAAGGAATAAATATGCTTTAAATGTCCTTCATGTGAAAAACAAGGGACCTTTTTATCGAAAAATGAAATACGATAAAAAGGAGAGATCCATGACCTATAGGAATGTTACTGTATGAAAAAAATTAGATCATCATACAAACTCAATTAAAATTTGCAAAAGAGCATCCTCATTTATATCGCCAGCGAAGGCAACCTAATAGTAATGCAGTGGTACCAATTGTTTTCAGCTTTTTACGAGTGAATTCTCCAGCAAAATATTAAAATGGACTTGAGATCATCAAGATATTTGTTTAATTTGTTTAATTCATAAATCATACGATAAATAGGTTTCGCTAATTTTAATTCTCAAAGAAGAAAGAAAACGATGCAAAGAATCATACTTCATCATTTTCATCAAATCTATTTGCTTTTCTCAGAAGAATTTATGCGGTCTCCTTCTCCATTACCCCATCAAAAACTATCAACTTAATGTCATATGTCATATGCCATAAATGGTCAATAGTCAGCGGCCATTGTCAACTTAGTCAATAGTTTCTACCTTTAGTTTTTTTGCATCCATCAAGATTGCCATTGTTTTATAATTTTCCTATTGATAAACGGAATTTCTCCAGTGGAAATTAATGAATTTTTCATAATACAGCATATTTTGAATTTTACAAGGATTTTGAATTTTATGAGGATGCCATATCCATCTTTATTGTGGATTAAACCTATTTTACATTGATTACGCAGTTTCTAAAAATGTTTATTCGGTGGTTTAAAACGCGAAAATTCGGTAATTATAGAATCTCTTTTGCGAAATTCAGAATTTTTGCTTTGTGATTCTAATAGATATATACGGAATAAAAAAATTTCGAAAGTGAATTATGGCAATTAAATATTAAATGTTAATATTTCATAAAAATTAACTTTATCGATATTTTTTCGCATAAATTATTTAAATAAATTTTACAGCGTGCCAAATAGAATCATCAAAATCGCAGTGGTTAGCTGGCAAAACGTTTTGTTGCGATAGCCTTAAACCTTCCACTTCAGCAATATGTGGCCCTCGCGGCAATTTATCAGCTACAAAAATAATAGCAACTCCTGCTTACGAGTATGTTCTTGTTTTTTTTCCTTTTAGGAGCACTTGTTATTGATATACTGATATACTGATTAGAGAGAGCGCCTTGGAGATAGAAGTATAGGTGAGTCGCCAGTTTCAAACGGATTTTTGGACGGGTTTACTTCTATCAGGAATAGTATTTCAGCTAAATTGAACTACAATCCACTAAGCTAATCCTACTCTTTTTTTTTCGCGACAATGCCGTCTGACAAAGAGTGGTGCGCCGGCGGATTCAAAGTCTCGGTTCTCGGTGATATTTATCTCATCATTGAATCATCGACGCACCTTTGTAATATATAATGGATATATAATGAATGTTGATGAGGAATAATTAAATGCGGAAAAGCATTCGTAGTGGACATAAGTCAGTTTCTTTATTGACTGAACAAATAAATTTCTCGCGTCGCTTTTTTCGATTTTATTTTTTCTAATTTTTTTTGGTTATTCTAAGCAGCAAATCGAGCTTTTGCAAGAGGAGAGAATTACTTTATTGTAAAATTCGTTCTTTGTTTGCTTATATTTAATATATGAACGAATATAGTTTCATATATTGGAATCTTTTCTAACGAACATTCTGGCGATAGCAAAAAATGCCGCTTTGACTAACAAATTTTTTACTGAAAACGCTTTTCTTGCTATCATTTCACTTTATATTTTCATTAATATAATTGAAAGAACTCAAGCGTCTTTGATGTTTACTGTCATTAAAAGCTAAATCTATGTGCTGCTGGAATTCATTTCTATCCCCAAATGTTTAAATCCCAACTTAAGTAGTTAGCGGAGCCAGCCGATTCAAGAACGGTGAAGACCATATTTAGTGATTAGCATGATAGGCATTATATCAGTCAATTTGAATTAAATGCTTGTTTCACTTATGTAATCCTATTATATATTCAAATCTTTTTCGAAAATATTAGAAGTGGCTACACACTTTTGGAGTTAGTTGTAACTGTTAACCTTATCACTTTATTATTTACTTTTTATCACTTCATTCATCATCACACCATTATTATTTTCATTATCGTATATTTGAATGCTATAACTCTAAATTATATTTTCAAAAAAAAGTTGGAATTATCAGAAATCAGCGATCAAACGATGTCACTTTGCTTTTCATTTTATTTTCTAGCTTCGTGACTTGACGCTTCTTTTCTCGTTTTGTTAGCTCTAAAATAAATCTTTTATTGTCAGAAGAGAAGGAAAAAAAAATGATTTATGACATTATGCCTTAAATTATCAGCGGATTACAGAGATTTACATAGATTTATTGTCGCAAAAGTCGGCTTAGGATTTAGTTTACAAAAATAATTTTTAAGATTACATCCAATGGGATTTTTTATTTTTTATCAAAATAACTTATAAAATTACTTAACAATCATAAATTTTTTTGCATTCATTTATAACTTTGTAGTTTTTTTCGGTAAAAATTTTTTAAAAATAAATTCGATTTGCAAAAATTTGATCGGTTAAAATTTAAGATCAAATTAAAATAATTTTTTGATTTAATTTTTTACTTTTGTTTTTTGTCTCTTTTAAATGGGTCGGTGATTTTTATTAGTTTTTAAAATGTATTATTATAAGAATAATTCCTTTATTTTACTTTGTTATTTTAAATTAATCGAAATTACTCATTTTTTTTCTCAATGAATTGAATAAACCATTTTTAATTATTTTGAAATGTTTTCATCGAAGAAACCAGTAGCAAATTTATTGCAAGCCATTAGCACATTTATACTTTTCGGAGGTCATAGGACGATTTGCTAAATGATTTTTTTTTATTATCTTTTCCAATTTATTACATTAATTTTTACATTATTACATTATTACATAAATTAAATAAAATTCACCTATGATTAACGGCGGTAAAGATTTTTCCTGGAATTTTCCTAAAATTTTTTCGCCGATGTTCGAAGGATATTTCTCGACTAAAATCAAGCTATCGCAGATTGGATTTCTCTTCATCAATGGGAGTAATAAATCTGCCATTGGAATTGAAATTTGGGTTTTGACTAGGACTCACTTTAAATTTCTACCCCAAAGTGATTCTCTGGCGAAGTGTTCTCATCCTAATAGCCAAAAAATCAGTCCAAATCTGAAATGGTGCTTCCTCCTAGAAAAAGAAGGTACTATTCCTTAAGGAAAATTTTTGCTAAGAAAAAATAAAAAAAAAATTTGTTTCTGCTATGACCTCTATAATTTTTAAAGATTACCATTGCAGTTTCCTCAATAGAAAATAATAAAATTATCCAACCAAGGTCATCTATTTTATACATTATTTTCTCAATGGTTTTTAGTATTTTTTTGGCTGAATGGTCATATAATTTCTGTTTCTGTTTCTTATAATTTCCTTTTTGTTTATGTATTTTTTAAAATTTCTAAGACGTTCTGAAGTATCCCTAGAAATATCAAATATTCTTTCTTTGCCTTCGCCATGCCAAATGCCATATTTTTAAAAATTATCTTACTTATTACACCTCAAATAAAATCCTCTATCATACATAATTTTTTATTTTATATACAATAACGGAAAAAAACTATGAAAAACCATTTTTTTAATGGATATGAGATTATGGATTGGTTCAGAATGAATTAGTTGATAACGAAATCGATTTTCTCGATTATCGGAAAAACCATTTTTGTGCAGATTTTTGTCAAACAAACAGCTGTTCAATTTTATTATTTCCAAAAAAAATTGAGCAATTCACCCTAGCAACTTTATTTTATGTTAGTACACTATGAAGGTTTTGATTTGATAATTTGGTAAAATGGTAAATGAAATGGTGATTTCCACTTTGTTTATTCGATCTTCGAGATTATACGAAGTGAATAGCGTGAAGAAGGAAAAAAAGAGGATGTAAGAATACCAAATTTTTTTAAAATTAATAAAACAAAAGAGTAGAAAAATGCAAAAATGAGGAAAAAAAAATTTTTTTTAATGAAAGGATGGATTTGTCTCTTAAAATTGTAAATTATTACACTTAAAAGATATGTGAAGGAAGGCAAAAAAATATTTGTGATTTGCATTTTGAAAGTTGGAGAAAGTTTAATATTTTTGATACTTATTTTTTTCAAAAATGTTTACCAAATTTTTCCTTCGACAAAAAGGAAAAGAAGAAAAAAAGCTTCGTTGAAGATTTGATTTTAAACAAAGTTTTCAATTGATTGCCATTTTCAGCATCTTGGATTGGAGTTTTTTTAAAATTCTCTTCAAAAGAAGTTTTTTCTTTTTTTTTCACTTTAAGAATTTCAGCAAATTTCCGAGTTTCGATAGTTGTAACATTGTGGATGCACCAAAGTTTCATTATGATATGGATTTTGATTTACGAGCATTGAAAGCGGTGCTAAAATCAGCTGAATTTCTCGATGAATCCGGATATCAATCAGTTATTGAACGCTCGCAACATAATCAGTATGGTACTTGCTGGATGATCAACGAAGATATGAGTGATATTGATAGTGATGATATCGATGATAATTGGGGTAAGTGAATGATCTCGAGTTATCAAGAGATTGTGCCATGAATGCAAATAATTGTTTAAGGTTTTGATTTCTTTTCATTTATTTAAGAAAAATTAGACTTGAATGGAAAAATTGTAAATCAGCATAACCCTTTTATGACCTTTTATTGCACACTTTTTGAAGAAGAAATCTTTATTTATTTTTATTTACGATATAATCCTTCAAATTCTTCCTTGTTTCACCGTGAGATCTAATGAATATTTAATGTATCTTTGATATAACTGAGAAATAATTAGCTTTGTAAGCGATTTTGAAAAATTGGCCTTCATTTTGAATACTCTATTTTTGTCAAAAAAATTCATTCAATTTTGTTCACATTTGAATGATTTTATTGCCTAAAAACTAAGGAAGTTTGGAATTCGGAGAACGAAAACGGTTATCTAAAATTTTCAAATGGTTTTTTTTGGCCAAATTTTTACAATACGTGGTTTTATTCATCTCAAATCGCATTTTAATGGTCTCAGCTTCTTACCTTTCTTAGATGGGCCTCATAATTTAAAAAATAATGCAAAATTTCTCTAATTCCTAACAAAGATTCTAACATACTATTTTTTCTTTTAGACCTAAATGTATATTTAAAAGAGGTTCAAAAATCGTCAAGTTAACTTATTTTGAATGAACAGTGGGAAGACTATCCTAAATTTGAATTTCGTAAAGACTATAAGATTGCTTGTAAACCTTTGAATATGAATTTTAGGAGTACCATAGAGGTCTTCTGCCCTTTTCTTTCTTATTGTAATTTATTAACAATTTATTTTTAATTTTACCACAATTTTTCTATTTACATTTGGTAGATTTCGTTTCTATATTTCTGTAATCTTTTGTTAAATTCGGTAAAATTACAAATTTATTACAAATATGTCATTTATTGCAGGATAAAATGCCATTATTACTGGTTTATAGTACTGATTACAATCGTTTTAAATAATTGAGTTCCGGAAGAGATAACAAACATTTTCAAATTCTCTCCCTATAATAAGACTATAATAAGATTCTATTTGTGCTAGAAAAATCGGATTCGTTGTGAAAATTAAGATTAGCTGTTGCAGACGGCTTCATGGAAGTTGGGGGCCAGCGGATCAAGGTCAAAGAGATGTCCGATATTCTCGCATCGCGTTTCGCTTTCTTGTCCGGTACGTTTACTTTTTTCTCAAGTAAAATTTGTGAAAGAAAAAAAAGGAATTAAATTGTTGGGAAATAGTTCGAAAATTTCAATCGAACATCGTTAAACTTCCAAGCACTTTTGTTTTATTCCATTTCTTTTCCATATTTTTCGCAACCTTTATTTTTTAATATTGTTTAATTATTTTCCTGATTTCTGAATTTTTTCTGAACAATTTTAAAAATTACTGAATTATAGAATAAAATTGCAGAAACTGAAAAATTACTGAATAAAGTTTTAGTGGAACACTAGGCTTAGTAATACATTTAAAAAGGCTAACTATTGAATGTAAATGCAAAAAATGCCTGCAAATTATTCCGAACATGAACAATGATAAAAAATAAGAGAAAAAACCATGTTTCTGAACGAGAGAATGACGATTTTAATCGTTCCATTCGTTTTTTTATGCAAGAATTAAGAAAAAAAGTGGTAAATATTTTCGCAAAACAACCTAAATTAAAGGGTAGAAAATCGCAGATTCCCTTTAGATAATCTATATTTTACTATTTGGATTAATAGCCGACATATTCAAGGTGAAATATATTTTTCTTCGACTCCCACTTTTACTTAAATTCAAAAAAAACTAGATGAATTTTCATTGAAATTTTTTTTAAGGATTTATCCTAAGATTTTTTAATATAACAAAATTTCAAAAAATTATTAAATATACAAAATAGTTGTATTCAATTGGCGAAATTCATTCTCATATTTCAAATTCATATTTATTTGATTAATTGAAAAATTAATTATGAATTTAAAATTTTGCCCGTACAAGATTATTTTCTTGAATTTTTCGAAGTGCTATTTAAACATTAATTCAAGAAGAAATAGAAATGGCCTCAATGAAATAAAATGTTTTTCGAGATCATTAGTTATCATTAGTTATTGTAGGAGCGCGAACTAAGGACGGTCATCCAATTCTCACATTCCCTGATAGCCGTTCACAGCTGACGTTTGATGAATTCAAACTTCTCATCTCATATCTTCTTCAAATTCCACCGTGAATTTTTTGGAAATTTTTTAAGAATTATAAAAAAATAATGTCTTATTTTTTTACCGGATTGGTTTGCGATTCTAATTTTATTCAATTTTTATCATTCATTTTTTTATCATTCAATTTTTCTTCCGTATTTGCTGAAATATCTTAGCGATTTTAGCTTAGAAGAGATTCATAAAGGTTACGTTATCGTCATTGATAAAAGAATGGATAAATGGTCAAACGTACGAACACTTCTCTTCAATTTAACGGTTTGTATAATATTTGATTAATATTTTTGGAATTTTTGCATGAATTATTTTGCTTTCCGGAATAATAAAAAGTCGACAATATCCGTTTAAATTGAAAACTACATTGCTAGCAAAATATGTTCGAAAAACCACATTAATATCGAAACCTCTCTGAAATCGCATTTAAAGAAAGATTTAATTTTCAATGTGATAGAGTGGCGAATTTAAATTGGTGATTGGAAAAACCGGACGAAGTCCATCGCATATTTTAATTAAATTGCTTTGCATATTCGCAGTATTTTGGTTTTATGCAATTTTTTGATTAATTTTCCTTCGAAATATTTAAAATATGGGATGTAAAATGTTGGTTGGTTCCAGTACTACGATGAGTTATTTTCACCAAAGATCGAAGTAGAAATACAAAATAGAATAGAAATATTTTTCTGATTTCCCGCTTTTATATTCTCTCCTCGCTAACTAAGGGTACTAAAGCCGAACTGCTTGTCTTTAGCCGAAATAATATACGACTCAACTGTATCCCTATTTTTATTTAACCTAAGTTTCAATTTTAAAGTATTGCTTTCCATTCACAAAAAGTTATTCAATTATCAAAAGATTGTAATATCTCTCTAATTTAATCGAACTTAAGGTTTCGAGTTATTAAAAAAATAGAAAAGGGCGAATGAAATAGATCGATTTTGGCTGTCAGATAATTGAATGTTTACCTCTCCCTTCAGTGGTTATAGCGTAAGGTGATTCGTTGGCTGTTAGTACGGTTAGAAATTTTTATCAGAGAATTACTTGGCGATAGAAGTACAGATTTTCTAAGGAATTGTCGTGCTAATTAATTCTAACTTTTTAAATTTTCTTGTCAAAAGTGAGGGGCCAAACCATTGCGCCTATACTATCTATCCACTCAAATATCTCAGCCACTATCCACATCGGTCTGTCTGTTACGTTCCTATTTTTGCTTCCTTTTTCTTTAGTTATTTCAATTCGACCTAATTATTTGCTATAATAGCCAAATAATAACGATTCAGAGCATTTTTTTAATTTTTCTTGGAAACTAAGCCGAATCTTTTTATTTCATATTGATTTCTAGACTCAGCGGTTAGTCTGGTTTTACTAAATTTGCTTACTTAATTCTTCGTTTTTCGCTCATCAAAGCTTTCTTCATTAGCGAAAGCTTAAAGAGCTATTTTTATTTATAATTGCCATTATAATTACAATATTATTAAGATATTTTGAATTTGGTGCAACAATATGCCACAGCAAATTGTGAACATTAAAACCGGTTGCATAATTTTTCCATTATTATTGCGATGAGATGAGTTTGAAGAGAGAGAAATCATAATGCATAGACGTTTAGTATTCACAGCCTTCTAAGATTCTAATTATGAAGGGAAATATTTAGGTATTCTCTTATGCTTAATGAGTTTACGATATTGTAGAATTTCTTTCCTGGATCGGTTCGAGTGGTTTTCCTTTTGAAACCCGAAAGTGTTTTTCAACGTGCACTTGAAGTCGGCTATAAAGGAATTGTTGAAAACAGCAAATTTAAAGTAATTTTTTTAAAATTATTTTCCATATGCTAGTTTCGTTAGTGATAATACTTTTTCCTTTGGCGTCACATCAATCATAAAACTCTCGATTTAACGTTATATCTGAAGGAAGGTCCATTGGCTGATGGTAGCCATCCTTTTTCTACCGTACAGACCCTTATATCGCTTGGCCGCCTATATATTCAAAATCTCTCCACATCTTAAATTTATTCACATAGGTTCTCTTTATATAGATAATGGAATTGATGTCATTTTCTAAGGGATTTGATGGATTGTCACGTTGAATGATTATGACATTTCATCCACAATGATCCTCATCATTTCTTCTTCTATTATTTTGAAATTAAAACAAAAATTTTTTGTATTTTCACGAACTATTCTCTTTACTTTAGGTGATTATTTGCCAAAGTTCTTTGGAACTCCGTCATTACTTAGGAATCGACTGCTTAACAATGGATGTTGGTGGTGCTCTGAAATATAATCATCTGGAATGGGTGCAACATCGTATGGTACCATAATTTATTTTTATTAAGAAATGAGAAAGTCTGTTGGTCATTCAAAAGTGGTCTAATTTTTTATTAAAAAATAATTAATAAGTTGGTAGAAATCTCTCAGCTCGGATATGGATCTGGCTAATTTTCAATTAAGTTAAATTGAGAGTCCTTAAGGGTAATTTTTTCAATTTTTTTTAGGTTAATTTTTCGTTTAAGGGTAGCTTTTTTTGTTCTTAAGTGCATGGGTTTCTTGTCTCGTCTAATTCTTGATTTTATGGCCTATTTCTTTAATACCTGAAATAAAATACGTAGGAGTGCCACAGAAAAACGATGAAAATATCTGTGGCCAAGTCACAGGTGTTACTAATACCAGATTTAGTTGTAGGTGTGGTCTTTTGCTACCAACATTTGCTACTAACTGAAGGAAATTTCAATCAATAGTAGTGAAAATAAAAATTTCCTCGTCTGTTTACGAACTTCTTGCGAAACAGTGAATATTATCTTCGGAATCTTCATTATAAATGGTCATTTTAGGATATTGAGCGTATGAAATCGTCAGCAGCCGTTATTGCTCAATCATTAAGCGAATTTGGAAGGTGCTTGAAGGAAACTGAATTGCCAAATGATGTCGAAACTACGGCACGAATATTGGAAGTCCAAAGCGCAGAGCGCGATGCAATCAAGGTAATGCAATGTGTTAGCAAAATAAAATATTGAATACCACAGGCAATACATTATAAGCGTATAGAATGAGTTTTGGCTCAATGTCCTAAAATATGGCTAGGACAGCCTAGTAATATATCGCTTCGACTAAGGACAATCATCATACGCTCGCTTCTGCCAGAAGTTTTTTGTACATATCTGAACTAAACCATCTTGAATTCTTCTTTTCAAGTGAATCATATCTATCATTATATTCAAATCTATCATTATAAAATGGCTTTCTAATGAGCAATAAAATTTTTTGTTATCAATCCAAAGAGCTGCTATTGTGGATGCATTCGTATCCAGCATGAATTTTACAGTCTCGGATCATCTCGATACGATCAGTTTAAATGGAAATTTGTTTAATACTTATTTTAATATTTGTTTTATTAATATTTGTTTTAATATTTGATTTTAGGAAGATTTCCGTATATCAATTCGTAAGGGTTTATCACTGCTAAGACACGTTCGCCAAATTGATGTGAAACCAGAGCACGAACAATTAAGTCCAACTAGGTGATTGATTCTAATCCTTCATTAATTTCTAATTTGATTTTAAGGCTTATTGGCACTATTGGCATTTTAGACTATCATTTGGACTCAATTTCTTTATTAATTTTATTAATTTATTAATATTAATTTTTTTTAATATTAATATAAGTTAATATAATAATATAATAATTTAATATTAATGTACAAAATATTTGTAAATATGTTGCATTATTACCCATTGATAATAATATACCTATTATTTATAATATGGAGCATTACTTTTCCGGACTTATCCATTCTTTAATAGATAAAAATTTCTGTCAATAATGTACTATAACCGATTAATTAGTGTTTTATTATCAATAAACTAAACCATTTTCATATTATCATCGCTGCTGACGTTAACATTTTTTTTATTTATAAATTTCAGGTTACACAACGTGACTGCCATAGAAAGGATGTTAATTCAGCTGGAAGAAACTGAACATAGTTTCGATAATTTCTGGTTTCGGCATGAAAAGCGCTTAACACAGTGCTTGAAATTGCGACGATTCGAAGAAAGTTTTCGTAAGGTAAAGTTTATAAAAAAATTTATTTATTGTAGAAATTAATAGTATTTTTGCTTAATAATTAATGAAAAATTTTAAAAATTTGAGCTAAAATTAATTTCAGCTGCAATCCTCGTTTGCTAAACATATGATTTATCTCGAAGAACATAGAGAGGTTGGTGACGGACCGGAAAAGGCCGAACAGTTGGCGAAAATACACGAAGATTATTCGGAAATAGCAATGGTAAATTCACAGTTTTCGCACCATCTCTTATTTGTCAGAGCTATTTGATTGACAGAAAAAACTGAATGTTATAGTTTAGAAAGCCTGACAGGCTCTACCGCAAATAGGTAACAGTTAGCTGTGGACGAAAGTACTAGAGCGCCCTCTTTCATGAAGAAAGCCTCTATTTCGCGAATAGAAGAATTCGGATAAAGCAAAATAGAAAACACGACGAATAGTGGTCACCTAATAAATGGTTAATATCTACTACACTGATAACATCGACCGACATTTTTTCTATAAAAGATTTATTTTGCAGGAAGACATAATGATGGCGCGTTCATTACGTGATACTGGTCAAGAATTAATCTCATCGCAAGATGTCGAATTAACGGGAAGTTTATTGCCGAAGTGCGATGAGCTTGCAAGGATGGCTGATGCTTTACTTGGAGCTCTAACAAGGCGACGACAGGTCCTCTTACTTAGCAAAGAAATGCACGAGCAAATACTTGCTGTAAGTGTTCTTCAAAATGCTCCCATTTCTGAGATTTATTCGTTCGAGAACAACCAATTTATTTTTAGCAACAAATTTTTTAGCGATTTTCTTGAAAATCCACAAAAAATATAAAGCTGAATATAACGTTTTTTTTGCGTCATATTTGCACATTATTCGTTCGCTTCTCCTTTGACCTTTGAATCCATTTTTTTTGACCTTTTCTTACTTCTTCTTTATTCTTGTTCAATGATCGAAGAATTTTTCTTTATCACTCTTTATCATTGATAACATTCAACTAAATTTGCATTGGTTTTTTTTTTGGTTTTTGCGTTGGTTTTTTTTCTATTTTATTGCGACTTTACAATATTTAAGAAATTAAGGAAGAGATATGTCATTTTGGATTTATTATGTATTTATGAAGAAAACTGTTCATCTTTCAAGTATCACTTATGAAGAGAGACCACTTTTGAGCTAAAATTTACTGCTAACTAATATTAGCTAATAAAATATTAAACATATGGCAGATGATGCATCCAATTCGTAAATCTATAATAATCAATATGAACAAAACTGTTGACCAGTGTTAATTGAAAGGGCATATGCAACTCTATTTATCTCTTTATCTATCCGTTCTAAGGTGCATTAGTTCCATAGGTGTACTGCATGAGAAAGAAGTTTATTGTTATTGTTATGAAGTTCCTTTCATTGCTCAAATAAAAAATTGTTGATATTTTAAATTTCCACTTTTTTTCGAATCTATAAAATTCAATTGAAAAATAATTATTTTTGGTGATTTGGTGATTTTTCTAGGCCCAGACTTAGGCTCGACTGATTCTTTATTTTTTGGCCTCATCGTTATTAATTCTTGGCTTTTCCATAAAAATTTTCATTATAAATGTTTTGTACTATAAATGTTTTTATGAAATTCTTTTTCTTTTTTTAAGAGTGCTCAGCATTTTTGGCTTAGCTGATTTTACCAGCTGAGAGAATGGGATCCTTTCGCTTAGGATAGGATTTCGCTACAGAATCACTTGGGAAATATAAGACCAAAGCACCATCACTTTTGATGGCAAATTCACTTCCGTTACTAATTTCAGCACTCGAGCTTACGATGGTCTGACCCTAGTTAAAGAAAAGTGCTATTCGACGACTACCACTTTGCCACTTATAAAGTTCTAAACTTTTAAGAAAGAAAAAACCAAAATCATAAGATATTTTTTTAAAATTTAAATTCCCATTTGGCAAAATTACCAAATTATTAAAATTCATTTAAGAACCTTCGAGATATGGTACTTTCACCTTGTTCACATCCAATCTTCCTCACTTTTGCACTGAATTTCATTTTCTCTCTTGGCACGGCACCTTGCTTCTATTTCAATTCACATTAGTATGCTTTGTTTGGTCATAACAGTCTAATAAATTTTGGCAAATTTTAATAAATTCCTAGCAAATTACTAGTAAATTTTGCTTAAAATAAAAATAAGCTTTCATACACATATTATTGTCTCATAATGTGGACCATCGACTCATATTATCCATAATAATAATAGTGGTCGCATCAGATAAAACTGCGGCTATGCCTATACAATTAATTGAAATCTTCCCAGTTATTATAGGATAAATAGGCATAATTAGACTAATCATCAAAAGCCTATTAGCCAAATCGAATAAATTTGTTGGCTCAGCTAGTAAAATTTATGTTATTTGTAATTTATATAGCAAAAAGCTGTACAGCAATTGATCGTGAATTTTTTTAGTGAATTTATTTAAGTATTTAGTTGCTCCACAAATGTGGTACATCGAAATTTTTTATAACATAATGCAATGTTATTTTATTGGATTTGTTCGATTTGGATGTTCCTCGAGAAATTTTTTCAAAACTGATTTCGAATTCGTTCGGAGTTGGTTCTTTCGCAGCAATTTCCATCGATATCCTTCAATCATTTTCACGAATATTTTATTCTCATTCTCATTATAATAATTTTCTCGCTCCTTCTTTATTATATTTTAAAGCCTTTCATTTTTTTTCATTTTATTCACATTATAATTAGAAACAAGCAGATAATTTATCATTTAGTTATGCCCCTTCCCAACCCCCTAAGGGTGGGTATGGGCCAATATTAATCTCGGATTTTCTACCAGAGGCCTCCAAGTTTGAGGATTCTGCACAGTAATCATAACTATTATAGTTTAAGCATGATTTGAAAAAAATGCAAAGAAAGAATCCATGACCTGAGAAATCCTGTATTATTTCAAATTTTCACCGATTCCAAAATTAATTTTGGTCGGTGTAGAGGACTATTTTTAAATTTTCGGACCATTAAGCAAGCAAAAAATGTTTAAATGTTGCTAGAAAGCGATGCATATGAATTCTCAAGTATTCTGCATAAGTCCAGATTTGTTGGAAAACCATTCATCTTCACATTCATTCATTCATTCATCTTCGTGCTATTAACATATATGCCAGTTATTTGCTTGCAGGCAAATAAGTGGTGTAAGCGTGGTGTTGACATTCTTACTTGCATTCCACTAGAACTGTCGCCTGTAAACGCTTCAAATGTTCTCAACAATATTGATGAATTTATTTCCGATGGTCGCAGTCTAAAGGTATATTTTGCAGAATATTGGTAAAAAATTGCTTTTATTGGCAAAAAAAAATTTTATTTCTCCTGGTGAATGATGAAAGAGAACGAATTTACAGATAATAGACTAAGCTTAAAATTTTAATCATTGCTTGGCTAAGATTGTTCAGTTTCCAACCCCAATATTCAACGATATTCATAACTCTTTTATAAATCTTTGCAATAAGAATGCGACAAATGCTGTAAATTAGACGAAATGAACGCCGAGCTTCTACTATTTCTATTTTTTAAATCATAAAATTTCATATCCGAAATGGTCGATTTATTATTTATCAGTGAACCATATAGTTATATACTTTTGTAGTGATAATTACATTCATCAAGAAAATTGTGACGAGCTTTGTCGCTCGAGTACTATAATTTATGCAAATGGGTACAAATTCGCTTTTCCATTCATTCTTCTCATTGCTGATAAATTGGTGATAGTTGATAGTAGTACTATATCATTTACACTGCCTACTAAATACCATGTATATACACTTGGTACCATATACATCTGACACCGATTTGCATTGATCTGACGATTTCTGAAGAATAAATCATTTTCAGTTGGACGCGTTAAGTCATTCTCCGGATATGAATAGCCTTATTTTGTTGACTACAACTGAAACATCAACGCTTCTTTCCCAGGTTAGTACCATATCGTGTTGCCTATGCTACGAACCTCCATTATTTTTTATTTGTTTATGACTTCTTTTATGCATATGCGAAATTACTACTGATAAAATTTTTTAAAGTAAAAATAAGGCTATTTTTTAAAGTAAAAATATTAAGAACATAATAACTTTCTAATCTGTTAGTTTAACCAACGAAAAAAAGTCGCCAATCGTCTAACGGCCAGGCTGATGACTAGACCAAATATCTTTAAACTTTTTTTTATTTTAGGTGGCTGAACGTATTGATGATATTCGTCGAATGAGTTCATCGCGTCGTGAAGCACTAAGAAAAATTGCTGATAAGGAAAATCGTAAACTTCCAGTGCAAGTTGTAAGTCCCGAAAAATCACAACAGCGATTATTAGATGCTCATGAGTTAAGTCAAACCTCTACAGAGAAGGTAATTGCTTAATCAATTAAATACAGCTGGTCGAGATTTTCTGTTATCACTTTTATTATGTGAATTACCATATTCATTAGAGATTTTCAAAAAAATGAATATTTAATCGTCATCATTGGTACCAAAATTTTTTTTTGCCAATCAATAATCAGTAATTATTTATATCACTAATTCGTGTTATCCTATGTTTTCATTTGTTTTTCTTTTTGACCCGAATCCGAAATTATTTGTGTATTTCACTCTTATCTTTAGCCTAGAAATAACTAATGAGGTGATGAGAATGAAGTGTTAAGCAACGAATTGCTGTATTTTATCAATCACTTTTTCAATGCTGTGGATAGAATAGCCGAGTGAGTAAGTATCAGATTATGGTTGAGAGGTAATGATTGGACATCTGTCTCCGACTGGAATAGAGTTGTCATTTAAAAATGGTGCTAGCGAGACAGACACCTGTACTTCTATTGTTAATGAACTTGGCAAAAATTTCTATGCTAACAGTTGGCAAAGCGAACCTTTTTCTCTCCTTGCATTTATAAAAACTTTGTAAAATTTTTTCAGATGTTGGATTATTTATATTCAGAAGAACAGTCCTCTTACAAGGAACAGTTTTCTGTAGAATCTACAGTTAGAGAATGCAGTTCAACTGTTGACCATATTATTGCTGAATTAGTAAATTTTAAATCAATTTATCAAACATTTGCTGTATTTACTGATAAAGTGATAATTCGATATTAATAAGAATGAATATAAGATGTGTAAAATATAATGAATTATATTGGGTAAAATGAATTATCTAAAACTAAAATTCCTATCTTTAGGTTAAATTTTCTTTGAAAATTTTTTTAAGTCAGATTTTGAGTTGCTTGACCGTGAAACTTTAAAACTGTAGTCATTGCGACATTTTTAGATAAACACGGAACGTACATATGTAACGGAATTACAGTCAATCATCGAATATTATATAAAACCATTCGAAGCACCAGAAAACCAATCCCTTATTCCATCGCAACTCAGAGACCGGGGTCATATCGTTTTCGGCAATTTAAGGGATTTGGTAAGGCTACAGCTTAATATTCATTTAATTTAGCTGAGCTCAAGTTTCGTCAGTTCAATTCCCATTAAGGAAGGGCAAATTTGTAATTAAATTGCCATCTGTATTAGTGCTGGGAAACCGACTTGCATTTTCATTTTCAACTTATTATCATATTTTAACAAAAGTTTCATCAGTTAAATTTAATTTTCACCGATTAAATCTCACATGGTTTATAAGTTTTCCCACTTTCTCATTATTCCACCAATATAGGGATGGCCAAGTGGATAGTAATTTAGATCATCGTATGAAGTTCGGTCTCTGTCCTCGATAGGAGTAAGTAGGAGTAAGTAGTCAAAAAATTCGGATGTTGGAATTCTACCTGTGTTTCTATCGGTGTTTTAAATAACTCTCTAATAAAAGTTCCAACTCTTAACCACTATTTAAGCTATCGCTTAGAATGCCTACCAGAAATAGTGAATTAATTTTTGCTATCATTACCTTTATTATTTGCACGTTTTATTTCTTGTTTAAAGTTAATATAAAACGATTTCAGTACGATTTTCATAGTCGGTTCCTCCTCGCAGACTTTTTTCAAGCATCAGAATCCCTTATCGATATTTGCCATTGCTTTGTTAACCATTGCAATCGATTCCTTCAACTTTATCACCCATATTGTCAAAATAAAGCTGTTAGTGAGGCACTAAGGCGTGATTTTGTTCATGGGCTTAAATTTTTCGCGGTATCTTTATTTTATTTTCAATGATTTATGGCCAATTTTTGCTTAAATTGGTAATTGCTAACCGTTCCGTTATTGGATTTCTGGTTTAGGATTGTCAAAAACGAGCTGGACATCCATTACCTCTTAGTGCTTACTTGCTCAAACCTATACAAAGGATAACAAAGTATCAACTCCTTTTAAAGGTAATTAATTAAACAAAATTTTAACGAAAATATTTTATTACTTTCAAACAATAAATAGCGTTAGTTCATTTTATTTAATAGGTAGTTTTTGATAGGTAATTTTAATTTCATGTTGAGCGTTTTTCAATAGAGCGCACCATTTCTTGTTTAGTTATTTCTTCCTCGTTTTTTTGTTGTGTCTAAATATCGAATTCGTTCGTCGAAATATAGTTGGACTACTTGAAAATCCTTAGTTAATCTATTGAGATGAGCCTTACTTAATCGACTGAGTGAATTTCAGGAACTGCGACGACACTGCGCTGAAGAAATGCGCTATCATGTCGATGTCGCACTTTCGTCTATGCTTGATTTATTGGCTCAATTGAATGCAGCCATGCATCAATTACATATTTCAGGATATACGGTCAATTTTTCTTCATGCATTATCTCGTTTACAACTCGCATGACTTGGCTTAGGATTTATTTGGCACTTTATGATTTCTTTTCAGTTCAATCCAAATTTCAAATTTCTAAACTATCTAAATTGATCAGAACTGAAATGAATTTTAGGGTGATCTGACTTTGCTCGGACCTCTTCGTCTCCAAAGTGAATGCGACATATATGCATATAAGAAAAAAAGCCGACGTTTGAATAAGGCGCAACGTCGTCATATCTTCTTATTCGATGGTGGTATTTTGTTTTGTAAAAAGCGCACTCAGCCAGTTCCCTATGCTCCAGAATATTATGAACATAAAATTTGCATACCGGTATTTTATCCATCCATTTCTTTTTTTCAAAAAACTTGTAAGTTAGCTGCGTTGATTTCGAGGACATTTCTCCGCATCTCAGGACATCTCAGTTCGATGCCATGCCTTACATTAATAAAAATCATTTTTCTATCGGCTAAGCCTTGGCAATATATCTTTTCTTCTCTTTATTGTTTCTGTCGAAGTTTTAATAAGGCCTTTGTGTTTAACACGATTCTTAAGAGAGAAAATATATCGAGGAAATTTTTGATAATTTCTTTGATAAGTTGTGACAAACATGGCGTAGCCGAAGTAAGCCATAGTTTATGACAATATTCTTGAAGCAGAAGCTATTTTGCAGACGTGTAGTCTTGGGTTCACTGAGGTATCTAAAACGTCAGCATCACGTTTTGACGTCTGGGATGAATCGAAAAACGAAGTTTATGCAGTGCAACCTCTTGGAGAAAACTTAAAGGCACAGTATATTCAGCGATTGCATCAGTAAATTTATATTTTTTATTTAATATTTTCTATCTTCATAAATTTATCTAAAACGATATTCTAATAAGATTTTCTAAGATTTTTCCTGTTTTAGGTGTTATCCCAAAGTATTGTGCAGGCCTGGCTTAGGCCTTTTACTGCTAATGCTAATTTTTAAAAAGCAATCTCTTTTTCACTCATCCATTCCTTTATTCATGATTTTTTACTTTCGAACTATTTCGAATTAGGTGTGGTTGATGGAGAGAATAATTTCGATTGTGATCTTAACAGCCATAATTATTGGTCGATAATTTTTGAAATATATTTTTAATATAATTTTAAAAATAAATTAAAAGGATTTTTATAATATTATTTGCCATAAGCATGAACCATTCTCGTTAATATTATAGTTTCGGTTTTCTTTTTTATTAACTCAGTGGGTACGGTGAGTGATCTGCTTGAAATTTTTCTGAATAAATATTTCTATCTCTTATATTTTTACTTTTCTAGATTGACTTCCGAACGCCAAACTCATAAACGAACCCAGCGACCGCAGTCGTGGACGTCGATTGTTTCGATTGATAGTTCGACATCAGCTCCTTCTAACAGCGATACAGCGACTAGTGTCGAATGGTACTTGCTTTTATAAAATTCAGAGGCTTTTTTTCTCAGCGTTTTGATTTTTTAATTGCTTTACGTGATTTAAGCAATTTGATCGATCCAAATGGCAATCAACCATCGGTGCAATCGTCTTCTTCATCATCTTCGCCAACATTTGTTCCATCACAGACATTGCCAGTTTCGAAAAATTTACCAGAATATAGCAACGAATCATTAATATCTTTTGGTGATATCAGTAAAACAAGGTCAATGAGCTGTCCTGGGGTAGCCTTTGAACAATTAAATGGTCGAATTTTGTGAAACTTTTCAGTTTATATAGGCTCTGGTGGCACTCTCCAAAAGTCTGTGGGCTTCAAACAATATTGTATTTTTAAAATAATATAATTAAAATAATGGAAGTGCAGTGCAAAAATAGTAATAATGTTTGGTGACAAACACTTCTATTAATTAACAAAATTCTCTCGGCACTTTTGATCTAACAAGCATTTTGCGGTTTGCGGACTGCATCTGCGACTAGGTGGAATGAAACAAAAGTGCCAGAATTTTTCCACGAACTCTGACGATATGCTGTTTAACCATTGCCAAATATTAAATAGTTGTTGCTTGAAAAATAATAATATGGGGACTTATAATAATAATGAACAACAATGATAGTTAACAGTAATAATGATAACGATAATAATTATAATGACAATAATAATGATAATAATAATAATGGCAATTGGCTGATAATAATTTATAACAATTGCAATGACAACCATTAATAACGACAATGATGAACAATAGTGGTAATGGTGATAAACATTATCATGATAAAGAACAATAAATCTGTCGCGATAAGACTTAAGATTCATCAAAGTGAAAAAAATTTTGGACCATAAAGTTGAGAAAATATGGAAAATTTTATTAGAAATCTAAGGAAGTGATTTCGTTTCACTAGGACTCCTTTATTTTCATATTTTCACCTTTTCAGGGTTCATATTTTCACCTTTTCAGGGTTCATTAAATTCAACTCCAGTTTCTCCGCTGAAAACAATTATTGAGAGCTCTTCGCAAAATGAATTATTAACTGCTATTTAATTATTTTTTATTATTATTTACTATTATTTTATTATTCTTTTGAAAATGAGATGAAGTTTTAAGCTTTTTTCTTGTACAGTATTGCATTATATGTACCAATTTTTTTGGTTTTTTTTTGGTTTTCCTAATATTCAAATATTCTTCATAATTATCTCGCATAACTTATGTATATACATATTTACTATCAAATTTAGGCGATAAACTTGTTAGATTAATTCTGAAAATATGAGACAATCGAAAAAATAATTTCATGCATGCTGATTTATTCTTCTTTTTCCCTTCTAACTGCCTATTTCGTATGTATGTAAATGCTTTAAATTGGAATTGGATCGTACAAATTACTATTACATGGACTGGTCGAATCAGGGATTTTACATATAAGGGTCTTTTACAATGTTTTCATTGTGATGTATTTTCACGTGGGGCTTTCCAGTTCGATCCTTGCGGTCTACCGTTAGCTCGAATTAGTCCGCCAATTCGCTATGTAAAATACAGTAATGACCTGCCTGTTTTAAAACCTGACTTGTATACATAAGCTAATGACGAATAAAAAAGGTCGAATCAAAAATTTAAATATTAGTGGATAAAAGAAAAAAATTGGTTTTGGTTTTATGGAAGTAAAGCCAATCACATTCCTATATGGCCATAATCCTTAGGATCTTTCTCGAGACGTATTAATTTAACGCCGATATAGAGGCTTAAAAAGAAGAAAAAGGATTTCAGGCTTACACTTCCAATGTAACAGTGGACCGCCTATAGTACCAATTCTCCGCGTTTCGTGGAGCTAATAAAGTTTTTTCATTTTAGTATTTGCTAGATGCTATATATTTTGCTTTTAGGTATCTCTCACAATCTTATTAAATTACGTTGATTTTGTTTCGAAATATTTTTACGTGGTACTTTCTTTATATTTATCTATGTTTTATATTTGAATAAAATTACCATTAAAATAAAATTTTCGCTTTTTTCCTTACGAATTTCATTCCTCAAATTTTCATACGACTTGTATATCATATTTCTTTTTATATGTTATAAGCTTTATTGTTGAAATTTTATTTTGTTAAGGTGAATTCGAAATTTTGCGATCCAGTGGAAGGACTTAAAACTTGGTTAGGCTTGGTTCTGATTTAATGCTTTGGCATGTAAAGAATTCCTTCTACATGAAAAGAAGTGGGATTTCGCGAGGGATCACTTGAGGATAGAAGTCGAGAGGTTGGCCCACGGATGGAAGGTGAAGTCGATGCTGGGTCCGCAGTTTGCGAATTGCAGTTTTTCTTTTGCTTCTTGATGAACTGAATTCTTTTGAAAATATCTATCTATTTTAATATTTTAATAAATAACGTGTAATCCGATATCAATTTACACTTTTTCCAGTATGTTTTGCAAATTTTAAAAGGAAAAATTTTAAATTTCATTGCAATTTCTTTATCAATTTCTTTTTTATGAGAGGGAAAATTTAATGGACAATGAAAATAACGTATTCACGCAAACGAAGGCGCATCATTTTAAAGCACCATCTTTTACTAGTTCCACTGATTTAAGTGGAGGAAAGAGAGAGCGGTGCCCAGCGTTCGGTGACTTTTGTGGCGGGTTTTCTTTGGCACCTTATAAGCACCTTATTTACCTTCATTTACTCAAATACTGCGCCATAAACAAAATTCGTGCTAAAAATTTCTTGATTATGGTATAGGACTCAAAATTACTTCTAAAATAACCGACCGACTTCGGACGTATTTCGAATGATGGAAGATCGGTACTTTTCGACTTCCTGGTACTCTTTAGATATTAATTCCGCCACAATTCTTCAGACTCAAAATAAAAGCAACTTCACATTTTCTCACTACATTCACTCTTTATTTTTGGGACTAAAATTCCTGCTTTGCAACAAAAAGGATGCAAATGAGTAATGATTAATACAAGAGTAAGAACATGGATGAAAATCACTAAGAATTTTCAAAATATAAAACTGACCCCATCGTCCTCCTTAACACTCCCTTCCCCCACCCCACCGCCCCTATTTTCCTACCCTGGTGACCCACCGACCCACTCGACCCCATCGCACCGTTGAGAAAGGCAGCAAATAATGGGTGCCATAATCTAATCTGTAGGTAGCGACCAAATGCGACTCTGATTTGAACACCAATATTTTAGCTCATCTCCGAAAATCATCGAACTTGTGCCCAAGCGTCACTGTAATTTATAATCTGGAATATAGACCGACTCACAGATTTTTAAAATTCACTATGGATTCACCTCAAACCACTCAACCTCTCCCCTCTTCCCACTTTCACAAAAATTTCCCGCACTTTCCGCAGTTGATTACATAGGATTGGCCAAACAATATGCCGCTGGCGTCTGTAAAATTGAAAATGCTAAAAAACAGCTGCCAACACAAAATACTAAATCGCAGCCCTTTATGCATACCTCGTGAGTTATCGATCGCTTGTTGGATTAGTGTTTGGATTGTTTTTATAATTATTTGTGGGAGTATTTGCGATTAGAATTGTGTGAATTTATTAAAAATTATAAGTGAAAGGAGATATTTAAGATTCCGAAATTAATTTTAATTAAATTATTTGTGTTCTAAGGAATTTCAAAGTTTTTTTAAATTTTCCTTTGATAAAAAAATTATTTTTTTCGTTTTTCCGTTTAAGAAATTTTTTTAGGACTGAAATTTTCGCGTTTTAGTTTTATATCGATTAATATTAAAAGTATTCCCAGATTTAATGTATTTAGACGGAAGGGCAATCGTTCCTAGCGGGAAATACCATTAGTAGCGAAATTCGGATGGATATTGGTCAGCTCGGCTTCGGATGCTGGCCATCTCGGCTTCTTTTCACCAGTGATTCCTTCGCGGTGAGGTTGTCATCCTCGATTAACATGCCGAGGGTTGCCGTAAATACTACTGGAATAATGAAGGAAAAAGAGTAGAATGCATTAATCAATTTTATATTTTTCACATTATTGAGCGAAATCTTATGAAAGAGAAAAATTATAAGCGATAATAAACAATACATAACTAATTGCTCGACTTGAAGATTCTCTTCTCTGGCACTCTCTTTACAAGCTTTCGTTACTTGATTGGCATGAAAGTCCGTGCGAAATTCTTGTGCATGAGAGGTCAAAGGTGAAGATATTTTAAAAAGATTAGATCCATTTGATTTATGATACAAGAGGGATCACTGGTAGAGAAGCCGAGTGGATAAGAGGATTACAAATCGAAGGCTTAAGAAATCAATGAGCATCGCTCAAAATAGCATTTTTAAAAAGTTGTCCAGTTTTTTTCTTTCTTCCTCGACAGTATTTTTCAGTTGCTTAGTTTTACGACTAAAGGCATACGCCGGTAACATTTTCGCGGGAGAATGACATTATCATAGCATTATCATTTGGACATGGAGATACGAGCGGATTTCATTTTATTGGCTAAGTTCTGGCAAAATGCAAAGGTCTGAACTTGGAGGATTGCCGATATTCAGACGAACCACGGCTGTTGTTCGATTATTCGCCTTGTTTCTATTATTTCATTAAATAAGCGTGTAAAATTTTTTTCAGTTTTCATAAAGTTTACGATGAATTGTTTAATGAGGGTTATTGCTAAAAACTGATATGTATTCGCCAATTAAATACCAACTGGTAATTTTTTCACTTTTATTTTTATTTTTTTCAGAAAAATTCATTTTTTCTCTTTCCTTTATTAGTTAATTTTATCAGATTTGCAATTTTTTTGTAATAAAGTTGTTGAGCTGTTTTTTGCCCGAAAACAAGCAGTTTTGCTTTAGCAACATAATATTTAATATAAAAAATATAACAAACTAAAAATAATTATAAATTACCATCAGTCATTAGTCAAGCGAATAGATCTACCGTATAGATCCATCGAGGGGAATTTAAGTGAAACTATTAGACGAGATTGATGTTTTTGTTCATACTAACACTAATCGTTCCCACGATTCGTTTAATATATCAATTATGTGAAAGAATCATTATAAAAATGTCGGTAAAAGAAGAAGCAGTAAGAAAATGTTAGAAAGGATTGGTAAAAAATCAAAGGCCGATGATCGATAATAGTGATAATGATAATTAGGCTGTTAGTAAAAGTATTAATTAAGTATTAATTAACGATTTATCTATAGATTCAAGTTATAATATTTAATGCTTTTGATTTATATAAACATAAATGGATAAATGTTTATATAGGATTGAAATTACTATTGCTTCTGTTTATGTTGAAAAAATAGAATAATTTTGCAAAATGTTTGAAATAGAAATGAAAAAGAATTTTAAAAGAATAAGCATTATTTTTTTCGAAGATATTTTATATAATAAAACACATAATAAAATTATAAATTAAAATTATAATAAAACATACTTTTCATGTTTCTCATGAAAATAAATTTAAAACAAAAAATGCTTTTTTATAAAAATCATTTTACAGAATGACGATTTAATTTATTAATTTAGCTATTAAACATTCGTTACTACCAGTATTTTTTTCAATATTTCACCGTTTTTTGAACGAATTTTTAATTTATCTTGATGGTTGGAAAGAAAACTTTTTGTTAGCTGAGGAATATCTTTTATTTCTTTTCCATGTCTTAGGAATTTTTTATTCTATTTTTTCTTTTTAAGTACGGATGAGCGTTGCGCTGATTACTGCTGGTTAGGCTCACTCTGCTGACTTATCTCACCCGATAAATTTTTCCAAAGACATGGAGATAGAAGTACGGATGAGCTGCCATCCGGATTATTTTTGAAGGATAGGTTTTCTTCCAACCTAGAACCTGTGCAAAAACCCATTAAGCCATTCTATCTACTTCTACTTTCGGCCACATCACCACCCTCCCCCCTCTTCGATAAAGATTCAAACTTGAGCCGATTCTCGGTTCTCAGCAGTTAATTTGCCACTAAGCCATTTTATTACTTTTATCACTTTTATCCATTATAGCGATTTTAGGTAATTTCTTTCTTTATTTCGACTTTTTTGCGGAAAACACAGAATTTATCTTGGTTTTATTTTCTAGGAAAATTGTACAAATGAAGATTCTGGAAGGGAACGAACATGGTTTCAAGATCTACGTCATGTTGAAAAAATAGTTGGTGTTAGGGACGAAATGATTGAACGAGAATTATGGTGAGTAATTTTTTGAATGATTTCAAACTAATGTATTAGATTTTCTTGAATATGGTAATAAATTTTTAATTTTTCACTGGTTTTGTTTAAACCAAAGTATTTAGGCGTAAAACAAATCAGAATCAAAAAATAAAAACAGTTGGTGTTGGATTGGTTTTTTGTCTTAATATTGGAGTGGAACCGCCTGGAGTTAAGAAACCACCTGTATGCGCGAAATTGGAATGTTGGGTTGATCCACACGATCTGCCGCCTCCAAGATCGGTTTCCAGGATCTCGCAGCTTGCTGCAAAAAGTTACGAGAAGCTTCAACCGCGTGCAAGGTTTACTTGTGTTATGTGCGTGTTGCAGACTTTTTCTTTTTTTGTCAAGTTTTTTATAGGATATTTCCACGTTGATTATTCTTAATTGATTATTTCTATAATTATTTTTCAGGTATAAATTCGCAAATGATCCAGGTGCGGAAGATGTTCGACGCCTTTGCACAACGTTAAGGCGTCATGCTCGCGGAGAGAGGGTTCTCTTTCATTACAATGGTCACGGTGTGCCTGCACCTTCTGAGAATGGTGAAATTTGGTTATTCAATAGTAGTTACACTCAAGTAAATTTTCGAATAATTTTTTTCTTTTAAGAGAATATTCGCTAAATATGTATTTCGTTTTAATTAATTTCAATATTTTCGTTCAATATTGTATTATTTCTTATCTGAAATTAAAAAAGCATCTCAAAGCCAAGATATTTTCGTTGAATTTCATAAGACTTTGCCACTGAGCATTTTGAAAAAGTTATTACGCGGGAAAGATGTTTATTTCTGAATTCGGAATTTCGCTGAATAAATCTAAAATTTTATATTCCAGTATATTCCATATTCAATATTTGATTTACAACATAATATGAAAGATCCATCTATCTATGTTTGGGATTGCAATTCTGCTGGGACAATCGGTTAATTCATAAATTATCTTAATGATTTGTTCATTTTTCGATCTTTAAATAATTTTTTCAAATGAAATGAATATTTTTGTATATCATCATACATTTATTTACTTTTTTGATTTACTTGATATATGTCCTAATATTTTCAGTTCGTTCCTTTTCGCGTTTCGCAGACGATCAAATTAGAGAATGGGTCAAAAAGTTAGATGCTCATATGGAAAAAAGTAAAGAACCTTTACCTATAATACAAGCAGATATGGATCTTGATGAGAAAGCAGAAGCATTTCATTTTGAGAAGCGACCCAATTTCAAGGCATTTTATTTGTCATTTATAAATTGTATTTAAAATCTTAAATATTCAAAAATCGTTTATTTATGTTGTTATTCTAGGATTGTTATCATTTGGCTGCTTGTGCAGATAGTGAGGTACTGCCAATGGATCCCGATCTACCAGCTGATATGTTTACATCGTGTTTACTTACCCCTATTCAAATGTCCGTTCTGTGGTATATATTAAAAAATGAAGCACAAGTAAGTAGTATTTCTAAATAATATATACATGTTTTTCACCTTCATTTCTTCTTTTTTTTCATTGTATCAAGACTGATTGTCAATTACTGAGTATTAATCAGATTTTAGGACCGTTTCCCACCATCCACCGTTTATAACATTCCGGGTCAGCTAAACGATCGAAGAACTCTTCTTGGAGAACTTAATTGGATTTTTACAGCAATCACGGATACAATTGCTTGGAGTTCTTTGGGAAGCGAGCTTTTTCAGACTTTATTCCGAATGGTAACCTAGAAATATTTTACTAGAAACATTTTAATATCAATTTTTTCCATTTTCTTATTTGATCATTATAATTTTTTTTTGTAAATATCGAAATAAAAAATGAATATGACTTTGACTAGTTTCTATGCTTTGGAAATTATTTCAGGATCTATTAGTAGCATCATTGTTCCGTAGTTTTTTGCTGGCTCAACGTCTAATGCGTTTTAAAGAATGTCATCCAGTGTCCAAACCTGAATTACCTTTGGTGTTTAATCATCCGTTATGGAGTGCATGGGATTATACTTTGGATTTTTGTTTGAATCAAATCCAGGAAAGCCATTTACTGTCGCATCCAAAAATTTGGGCACTTACCAAAGAATTGTTCCTTGTTCGATCATCTTTGCCTTATAACAGTTAGTTTTATGTTTTATTGATGACAAATATAGGATCACAGTATTGTGAAAATACCTTGATCATACGATCAGTCTAAGAGCTTTTTTAGTTCATTGCATTATAATTTGTTTTAATATCTTATTTTATAGCCATGAAATTTCGATAAAAGCGAAAAAAGCGACTAATAGCCTTATATAAGATCATTTAAGCTGGTTGCTGTTTGATTTGTGGTTGAAGTCATTTAATGATGTTTCAGTCTATTTCAGTGGATATTTATGGATAAAAATTATATGCATTTGTTGATTTTTCTTCGTCTCTATTTTGTATAGGGTTATTTAGTGTTGATCGATCGAACATACGAAACTGGCCGAGAACTAACTTCATATACGCAAAACTCTTTTTTCATTGATCAGTTGAAAGCATTTGAAATTTGGTTAAAATATGACGGTGAAACAAAACGACCACCTCAGCAGCTTCCAGTCTTGTTGCAAATGCTTCTTAGCCAAGTATTTTTTTTCTTTGGAATTTTTCTCGGTTCTGGTATATACTTAAGTTGTATTCAGATTTTTAGGTTTTCCGACAAAGAGCGTTAGAATTGTTGGCACGTTTTGTGGATCTGGGAACATGGGCTGTTGGACATGCCTTATCTGTTGGCATATTTCCTTATGTTTTGAAACTTTTACAAAGCGCAACCAAAGAATTAAAACCTTGGCTGGCATTTATCTGGGCAAAAATCCTCGCAGTTGAGCCAAATTGTCAGCAGGATCTAATTAAAGAAAAAGAAGCTAGGTGCAGAATAAATTACTTTTTCATAGATTTTTTCACTTATAATCTATTACTTGTAATACATATAAAATCTACCATAAAATTTGTTTAGAAGGTTTTTATATTCTGTTTTATTATAATAATATTATTATAGTAATAGAAATTTAATTTTATTTATTGAAATTATTAAAATTTATTTATTATTTATTAAAATTTTATTATATTAATAAAAATGATGAAAATATTTGACTCGTAAATATATATTTTATTTTATTTTAGTAATATTTGACTTGTAAACAGTGTAGTTTACTAGAAATTGGGCTTTCATTTCCATTTATTTTTAGTTATTTGTTCTTTATTCAAATGTTAAATGATCCGAGCATCGACCCACGCCAGAAAATTGTTCCAGCTTTTGTTACAGCTGCATTAATTGAAAATAATTTCAAGTAAATTGCAGTTTTCTTCATTCATGCTTCTACAGAAAGTTCGCGGTAGATTTTTTTTGCTTTTCTATTTCTTTTGATTTTTTTTTATTTAAGACCCGCTCAAGAATTATTGACCAATCATAAATACGTCACATTATGCATGGAGCTATTATCTGATAATAGTCTTTGCCAATGTCGAATGTTGCGATTATGGCTTCTAATAGGCTTAGGACGTCTATGGGCTGATCATGATCCAGCAAGATGGCAGTCGATTCGTTTAGTCGCTTATGAAACGGTAGCATAAATAATCTATAGAACTATTTCAGTTTTTCCCTGTGGTTCTGCTTTAAAAAAAAAGGGATTGATTTATTTCTTAAGACATATATCCTTTTTGTTCAATTTCATAACATGAAGAAAATCATGAAGGTTTTTCATAATAGCATATGCATTATGGCATAACGAATTTATATTGTGTAGATTGTAGGTGCTGGAATTCTTGGACGATAAAGTTCCCGAGGTAAGAGCTGCAGCTATCAATGCTCTTGGGTATCTTGTAAAGAATCGCTCAGAATATAACGAGCACGCAACTACGGTATATCATATTTTGCTATATTTTAATATTTCTCTAGCTTTTAATTTTTTCCATCTTTTTTTCAAACTGTGAAGTTTTAAGATTGATCACTATATATGTGATAGATTATCAACGAAATGTACATTCGATGGTGCAGTATTAGTGCGTGCAGAATTGGTTGTCGCGCTCCAATGGTTTATTATTGATTTCGAAAATCGTTTCGCTAATTTAGTAATGGATCTGATCGAGAAAACTGAAACAAATTTAGATTCTTCCTCACGAAGAAAATTATCAGTATAATTTGTTTAATTTATTTAATATCGAAAGCCATTTTTAAGAGCCTTTTGGAAGTGTTCAAGTTACTGCATGCAAAAAAAAAATTTTAGAATTGATTATTTCCTTGAACTTCAAACAATTATAGGCTTGTGAGCATGAATCCGATGGTCTAATTTCGATTATGGAAGGTGAAACATCGCAGTATGATAGTGAACGATCAGATTGCAGGTCCAGTTTTAATGCAGTGTCTTCGTCATTGAGGTATTTCCAGTTAGGAATATTTTCTTAAATATGAGAGCAAATTTAAAATTGTTGAAAATCTTCAGGTTGCATCGTCAAAAAAATGCCTCATTATCGTCATATTTCAGTCCGAGAAGATCAAGTTCGATGAATTTTGGTTTGTTTTATTCGTTATTTTTAAAAAAAAATTTTTGTATTCTTAATTCTTAAAAGATTACATACATTCAGACTCTTCTTCTGTCCACTCTAAATCGCATGGTGAGGAAACTGTGCTCCGAGAATTCAATACAAATGTTCGTCCAATTTCAGCCAATAAGAGATCAACTAAAGAAGAAAATTTCAAGTATTTTTTCATTTTCTAGAATATAATATGTTTCGTACACTGCTTATCACTCTTTTAGCAATTGCAACTATTAGATCTGTTTTTAGGAGTTAGAACTGTTAGATCGCTGTAAGAAAAATGCCACAACAAACAGATTCAGTTCAGACACATTCAATTAATAGTTGTATTTATTTTTATAAAATTTTTACTACTGGGATCTAACTGCAATATTTTTTAATAAGACGAATTTTAGATCGCGAGTTTTGGAGCAAATTCAGTTTATCGAATCAAAAACATTCAGAGATCAGTCCGAAAGGATCTGGCTTTCTTTACTGAGGTTATCGTTAGATCCTGTTCCGAAAATAGCCGCCATGGCACAGGTTTTTTTTATTCGTTGGTTTTTTTATGGAATGTTTGTTCTTTTTCATAGAATAAATAATTTTCTAGGTTCTCATCGCACATGTCGAAAAACTTGCCCATACGAAGCATGAAAGGAAGCGCAAATTGAGTTATGTGGAAAAAACGATCGCAAATAAGGTTTTTTTCGATGGGTTTAGTTTGTAATATTAGAAAAATTTATAAAACATTTTTATATAATTTGGTTTAAATATTTGAAAAAATTCGCTTATCTTCATGACATATTGTCCACTTCAAATATTCTCAAGAAGTTTATATAAGTTTCTCATTCCGATTTGATTTTGATCTCAAAGGAAAATTATAAGAAAATATTATGAGAAATTATAGGAAAGTGAAAATGAAAATGTAACTACAACTCCTTCACTGGTAACATTTACCGTTGGATCTCCAAACGAATGTTCACAAGTAGATTCACCTGCCAGTATGCAAAAAAGTGATTCTACTAGGAAAACATCTGTGCCTGAATTCAGTCGTAAAATGCATTTATCGGTGAAATCAGATACAGCTGTTTTGCCCATATTCCATCAGTCAAATAACTTTACGCCTAAGCGAAATGTTTGCTTTTTACATTTTTTAAGGTCTTAAACTTCCCTATCTTTCTACTTTCTTTATCTTTATCTTTTCAAGAATAAAGGAACTAAAAAAGCAATAAAGAATTTGTCCACATTTTCGAAAACATTTTATTAGCCAGCTCCTCGAGTTATTTTATAACTTTAAAAATTTTCTCAGATGTTCACACCAACAATAACAAGTTTAAACAAATTAGCAGATGAGAATCCAAAACTTCCTTCGCATGCTCTTGTTTCTACTGAATTTGTTGCATGGTGTTCAGCTAGATTCACTGAACCCATTCTTGATATGCTGCAAGGTAAATGTAAAATGAAATATTTTAATCAAATTTATCAAGCAGAATGAATGTTTTCGATTCCAGTACCAATTCAGTTTTGATTTTTTTTTTTAAATTGCTTTCTTTTCGAATTTCTTTTTCCACAAAATATTTTTTTTAGGAAAAATCCAGACACATTTGATTATTCTTTATTTATATTTTGTGAATTTTAATCGGAAAAAATTTAAAACATTTTTAATTTATCAGGAGTTGCTGGTGATGGCTTGACCGACCGAATTGCGACCAGTGTTATGCCTAGTGATTGGGCATTACATACTGTTGAAGGTCTAGAACAAACTGCAAAACAGCAAATTGAGGCCCTCAACGAAGCAGTTGATATTTTTTGTTAAAAATTTATTTTTTCTCCATTTCTTATATTTTTGTATTATATTATATTTTTTATATTATATTTTCCATAATTTTTTTGATTTTTTCGGTGCAATTTTGAAAAAAAAGAAAATTTTGCTTTTAGAAAGTAGGCTGCGATCGCCAGATATTCTGTATGAAAAATTGCAAAGATGTGAAAACTGTTGTTTGGAGTCATCTGAGACCCCATTTATATTCTTGCGACGGACGATATGTTAACATTTTGAGATTTGAGTCACAGAATGCTCAAATCGTTCGGCGATTCGATTCATTCAGCGGGAATTCATTTGTAGATGTATATTTTGTTTCAGATTTGTTCTTTAATTTTTTGCCTATTCTAAAATGCCTAGCGCAAAATGCCTTTTGTGTTAGAGATCCTACCAGCGCTCTTATTTGACAAGAGAATGATAAAGAGAAAGAGAATTGTGGTGCTCGAATCTAAATGGTTGTAAAAGGGTTTTTTATTCTCTTGTAAAATTTTTACTCTATTCTATTCCTTTTTTTTTTATCACAGTGGTGGACTTTTGTTCTTTTATAGGATGTTGTTTGTGATTTACATATTATTAATGGTATGACTCGTGAACTTCTCTTAGTTGCTAGTGATGATGGTTTAATACGAGTTTGGGATCCATGTTATTCAATCCATTCACATGATTTTGAGGGTGATGGTCATATGATAACTGCTGCTTTTCTTTTAAAAGATTTATCCAATTTGGGGACAAGTAGTCGTGCGGTTTATGAGTAAGTTTTTTAAAGACATTTTCTTTAGTGAATAGTGAAATAATTTGGCTCAAGAGCTAAGATGAGTGGATTCCATTCATTAAAAATGGAATCCCGGTGGTACTGGTAGTCTATTTATATTTTGTCCCCACCTAATTCTGTTTATTTTATAATTTTTTTTACAGATGGAATCAAGGATCTGGTACCATATTAGCATCTGGTAATATTCGGTTTTGTCGGCTTTGGGATGTGCATGCTGAAATGACTATACAAGATATATCTATTGGAATGAAAAATTGTTGTGCAACAAAATTATTCTGTGACGAAATGTGTAGAGAAATCGTGGCCGTGGGTAAGTGTCAGCAATTTGCTGCACTTGGTTTTATTATAAATTACTTTCATTTTGCGGAATATTCTATTAATCGTGAATAAGCAAGTTTAAATTAAATTATCAAATTTGAAAGCGTTATTTTGCCTAATATTAGTGATATTTTCGATTTAAGGTCTTGATAATGGCTCTATTATGCTGTTCGATCCTCGAGTGGAATCAGCATCGCAGAAGATTATGCATATCACGGAACTAATTGATCCAGTTGTTGGTTTAAGTTTAGTACCAAATCTTTCTGATGTTTCTGTTTCCAGTATGCATTTGCTTGCTGGGTCTTTTGATGGTGAAGTAAGACTCTGGGATCCCCGTGTATTTAAGGTTATTTTACAGTAAATACGAATTTTTAAAATTTTGATTTAAAATTCAAAGAGAATTTTATAAGGAATATAAAGTTTAATCAGAAACCTATTTTCCCATTGCTTCTTGAAAAAATTGTCAAAGCAAGTAAAGTTTACAGTTTTTTATTTTTATTCCTTCCTGTCCAAAAAAAGTTTATTTCTCTTATCACACCCTCTTAATTTGACTTAATTTTGTTAGACATCGGAATATGACAGATTTATAGGATTCTTTATGGCGCCTCAATATTAATCAGTCGAAAAATGATCGACTGCCACAGCTTGTTAAAATGGATGTACAAAGGCACGCAAAGGTTTGCTATATCAATTAACAAATAGAATAAGGAATGAGAATTTTTTTATAAGTATGATTAGGATTTTCTTCATTCGTCGTTTACATCTGGTTTTTATCAGGTTAATAATGACTTTTCATTATCATTATCTTTAGAATTTTTTCCATTCAGATTTTTGCATGTGCCACGAGTTCATTGTCATTGAAATTTTATGATATATTTGGTAAAAAAATCAATGAAATACAATATGGGCAATCCATAACAAATGGGCGTAAAATTGGTGTACCAACTGCACTACGATTTCATCACTTATTAGCTTCCGTCGCCATTGCAGCACGAGAGCGTTTAATCGCTGCATATGGAGTACCTTTGTCTATTTAATATTATCAACGAATTTTATTGTTTCTTGTCTATATAAAGTATATGCTCAGCACTGCGAATAAAAAAGATCAGGTAATCTAAAGTTATTCTACATTTGTGGCTACTGATCCAAATGCGTAAGTTGAAATAGTCCTAGCCTTCATTCCATTTTAGTTTTTTCGAGTATTTACCCTAACCCAGTGGAATGACTTAAAATAAATGTCACATCACTCATATAGATTTCAATTTGCCGATTTTAGTATCGTCTATCGTTTTTTCAATTTTTTCAATTTTCAATTTTTTTTTGCCAACAATTATTTATCCATAATTTTTAGGCATGGATCACGTTTAAAAGGACGGTTTAAGGTATTATTTTTTGTTTATATTTGTTGCAAAAATTTACAAGTAAACCGTTTCGCGGGTCATTTCATTTTATATTCTTTCAAATCTTGCTCAGTCATTTGTAAATTCAATCACTTTAATAAAATTTTTGTACCTATCCACAAATTTTTCGTATCTTCAAAGAATAAGGTGACATAGATTCATAGATACATCTAAGAATCCGACGCATAAAAATTAATGATGGTGGGTGTCCCAAATGTTATTTGTCCCTCTAATACGATGAAATTTCTTCACAAGGAATCATTTGGGAACAGAGGTAGAGGGCGATTTCTTAAAATCATCGGAAGCTTTCATAAGATTTCATTCATAAAGTCTTTACACATAAAGTCATTTATACAAAATCAAAAATATACAAAAATATACACAAATATATAGTAGATGGGAAAAAAGGCAGCCCTGTGACAGAATTCAAGTCAACAATTTTTTAGGTATTGTTACAACGAATAATTTTTTTAAGCTTGGTATATCACGCATCACGCATGAGGGGATACAAAATTTTATTTGAATAATAAAATAAAATTGCATGATTATAAAAAGGCAGAGACTAGAGAGGATTGCGAAATTCCACCTATTGAAAATCCTCTTGTCCTGTCGATACGCTAATTTATGCAGTTGACGATATTTGTTGTAATGATTTGGAATTAGATCAATGGTTTATCTACGAATCGAAAAGCTTTTAATGTTAAAACTCTATAGACACCAAAAATAGAAAAAAACGAAAATTTGAAATGATGAGACAAAAGGTTTAATTATTAAACATTAATAATTAATTGTTCTGAATCCTACCGTCCACGAAACATTAAAATTTATACAAAGAAGGCTAATTCTCATAACGCCAAATTACTCCATGAAATACTAATTTATTTAACCATAGATGAAAACAATAATTCAAATAATTGAATAACCGTGCGAAAAAGAGGATCACGCGGAGAACTAATAATGCCCTTCTAGAACAAAAAAATGAATACATGATACATACAAAATTAAGAACAAAGATCGTCAAGATCATAAAAGTTTTAAAAATTGGACTTTTCCCTATTGTTAATCACCCCTCTAAATATCTATCAGTTCCCTAGCGCTAGAATAACCTTCTTGAAGTCATCGCCCACAGAAAAGAGGGGACAACATCATCCACATTGGAAACCTATGGTTAAAACCATATTATATTATCGCTAGTGGTAATGGAATGAAGTTGCGCATGCCTTTTCGTAAAATTCGATATGATTTTCGCTGCTCAGCGTCCAACTTTAAAAGTAAATTGAATAAAATTAAATCATTTTATTTGAAATTATTTATATCTTCTTGGTTTTTTATCATACATTATTTTCGTTCCCTTTATTAAAATTTTAATTTATTTGTGTTTTTTTTTCGTGTGATCGTTTTGTTTTTGTTGTAAAATGTTTAACATTCACTGTGTTAGTGACTGCTGCAGCCATAAGAGATTATGATATTGCACCACTGTTCATGGTTTTTCGATTTAGAAAATTCGTAAAATCAACTAATTTCCCGTTAGCTTTAACAAGAATTCGAACAAATAGTTGCTGCTTGAATAAATTCTGCATTATTTCATTTACATTTTTTCCAATTGAGATAATAGTCGTACCACTCCGTCCAAGAACTAATCGAGCATGTCTTTCTTTATCACAGCGAACTTCAGTAACGATTTGCAGAACATCACCTTCTGTCTGCCATTCTGTGATTAAAACCTGCAAGCAATTAATAAAAATTACTCCAAATGCAAATCAAAAGGTTTGGTTGGTTTAAATGCTAAATAATGAGGGAAATTAATCTAGGAAATTTTGAGAAAAAAGCATTTATACAATATTATTACTAGGATGCCTTTTAATCAGCCACATATTCCAAAAAATTTTCTGTGTTAGAGGATAAAGTATTACATTAAGATTATAAGCGACTTCAGAAGGAAGATGTTCCAACAATTGCGCTCGTATAGCATTGAGGCAAAGTTTTTGTGGACTTTTCGTTGTTATTAGACCTTTTGGAAAACGGTGGTTCTGAATCGTTATTATAAATTTTTTCAGAAAAATGAAATTATTACCTTTAGAAATCGAAGAAATTTTGTCAAAATTCTCAATAAAACTCCTTATATTTATAATTTATATTTATTTAATTTGTATTTATATTTATATTTATAACTTTTACACTTATGTATTTAATATAATTTTATACTTATACATACTTATTTTTTTAATATATTTTATATATATTTAATTAAAAACATTTAACAGTTCTATCTTCCCTCACATTTCCATATTTACAAATAAAATTTGAAGACATAGTCGAAATCGAAAATCGAAATCATTAAAATAATATAAAAGTTAAATATGACAATCTAAAGACCACAAATATTGTTGTAATGCTTATAAAGGACAAACCTTTTTTTGAGCGACAGAACATAAATGCTTTCGAACATCATCAATTCCTTCACCAGTGAAAGAACTTACAAAAAAAACTGAATCAAAGTTTGGCCAGCCTCTTATATTCATAAAAACTTTCTTAGTGTCGAACCATGGACATTCATATGTTTTTTTTGCCATAATTGCACTGAAATGATGGTAATTCATAACTTTTTGGAAAAAAAACTGTCCATAATACTCAAAAATTTTAATTTCATTGAGAATGTATATATGAAGAACTTGTCAACAAAAATTAAATCAGCGTGGTCACTGGAAGCTCATTTCTATTTCTTTGGCGAAATGATCCAATCTTTTAATGATGTCAAACAAAAAAAAAACTATCAGAAAGTCGTTATTAGATGAATTAAGCACAAAAAATGTTTGATAAAATGTCTGATGATTATTTCAATGATTAAATTAACATGAAAAGATAACATTAATAAGGCATTAAGAAAATATGTATTTTGAAAATATGTATGTATATGTATATATGAAGGCATTAAGAATTACTTGTATTTACGTTGCCACTGTTCATCAGTATTTCCTTCGTTATTCACAGATAATGGCATCAGTACCGTTTCCTTTGGAGGTGATAAAGAACCCAATCGCCCTATCTGTTTCCTAGTTGTTGTAATAGGTTTGCCGCCAACTTGCCCACAACATAAAATCCTCACAAGCTCGAGCAAATCACTTCTACAAGTAAGATCAACATTCATTTTGTTATTTAGTTTTAAATAATTTAGTTTATTTAGTTTTAGTTTTAACTATGCTTCAAAAACTAATGAATTCAAGAAAAAAAAAATGATTTATCGAGATGACACCTTCTTTGTACAAGGTCAATTTTATTAATAACCAAAGACGAAGGAATATGAGAATGTGAATGCAAAAGATGCATTATACGGTGATGAATATAATCACCAAGTTCCATCGGATCCTGCACAATGAGTAAATAATCGGCAGTATCAACAGCACGACATGGATCTGGAAAAAAGCGATATATCCAATTGCAGAAATATTCAATGATAAAAGAATTAATAATTTAAAATGTTAAGATTTAATTATAATTACGATTAAGGATTTTTATTTGATTACCGATTAAATATAAATAAATAGATGAATTTATTAAATTTACAAATTTATAATTATAATTTATAATTTTAAATAATTTATAATTTTATGATTTATAATTTTATAACTTTTAATTTATAATTTTTGCTATATTTCATCAGAAATTTAATTTTTTGCTATGTAATAAAATATCAAAATATCGTTTTTTTTCTAACAGGCAGGCACCCTTTAAAAAAAGGGAGGTGAAATAACTCAAAATTTACCTGACAAACCAGTTTACCAATTAAAAATGATAAGTGCCGCTTAGAAAAAGAACGAAAAAAAAGTAAGTTGCCGATGTTATTAAGTAGGTCAGTTGGTTAGTACGAAATCAATAAAATAATCACCTTATTAGAAATAAAGAATATTTCAACACCCTACTAAAAACCCATCACCATTTTTTAACAGTCCTTAACCTCATGGGCTTCTCCTTAAGCTTCCGCCTCTCCTCTTCTTCCCACCGCGATACAAGTTTTATACATAATTTTCAGGAGGAAACAACCTTGCAGAAGACGATTACCCATTGAGCGAACGGTATAACGTGCATGTTTGATACCAACAACTCCTGGACTATCAACAAAGATTAACTGCGTATCACCTTCAGTAATGGCGGCAGTTAAATTTTCCTGCGTCGTATCCATTTTTCTACTAACTGCACAAACTGCAGCTTTCACTAATTGGTTCGTGAAAGATGATTTTCCAACATTTGGTGCACCGATTACTGCTATCTAAGAAATTTCTTTTTTTCGATGAATTAACAAATATTAAAAATCAAAGAAAAATAAATATATAAGAAAAGAAAAAAACGAAGTAGGAATAAGGCTTCCCGCCTTATCATTTATCACATATCGATGATTGACATTTTCAAGAGACCATTTCATTCAAAAAGAGACGCAGCAATGGTAATTCATCGGCACTTCGTCACCCGAAGGAATTTATGGCTAATTACGGAATTTGGTTCCGCTAGAGAACGGGCATCCCGAGGCAATATATGAATGACTCGCCTATCGTGCCCACCACGAATTTATCAATCTTTTTTTCGAAAAATATAAAATGAATAAAGGAAGAAGCATAAATAAATTAAAATTGACTTACCCTAAGGCATTTCCTAAGGGCATCATTGTTGGTACCATTAACCACGCCATCTACAAAAGCCTTTAAACAAGACGAATATTTCACCATTATTCCTCGATCATCATTAACGCTGAACTATTGGCTATCTGCAAGATAGCATATTCACTATATATGCTAAAACGCAGCCCACTTATATGTGCACACTATTCAATGGTTGATAAGATGTTCTTTACTATGCTAATGTAGTTTAGTTGAACCGGTTGAGGAGTAAAGGGGTGCTAGTACCACTCGGATCCCTTGACATTCCTTTTGGGGTGAGAGGTCGGGTTTGCGGCATTAAGGTATTGCTTGACCATGAACCGAATCGATCATATATCATTGAACCATGCAAAGCCTGTACTATTAGCTCGTATATTTTCCGATAATTTTTTTTACGATGGAGCAGAACCACTAAGAAGAAGAAGAAAGTTTGATCAAAATTAGATTGTCTGCCACCCGTCCTTTTTATTTTATAAGTCTTGAAGAGGACAAAATTAAAGTTCTAGGTAGAATTCTGATTCAGAAATATTCACGTGATACGGGCGAATCAATTGTTTTTTGATCGTCATATGGTGACTACGGTGATTCAGTTCTCACAAGACAAATAGCTGATGAAGCCTTACGAAAAATGGTGAGCATTCTAAGAAAAAGAAAGAAGAAAAAAAGGTGCTGAAAAGGAATGAATAATTGTCGCCCTAAGAGAGGAGGAAATGAGGCAACCAGTCACCACTTACTCTACGATGAACATTGGTCTGAAGGATGTAAGGCACCGTTCTCCTCAACTGTCGAACCAGTTCTGTTCAGTAGTTTGAACTGTACGAAAAGTTGCACCGTATTATGTTTGCCACATTTTTCCACTTCTGAATAGAATTTGTAAAACGTGCAAAATATTGAAGTCTGCACAAGATGGTCCATTTGCCAGTAGAACACCACTGAAGGAGTGCTAAAATTTTTATTTTAGATGACATATGCAAGGTGAGACTCGAGCATTCCTTCTTTCCGCACTTCAAATAGATTAGTGAGGGAATGGAGGGGGATGGGAAAAAGAAGGGGAAGGGGAGTGGAAGCCGAACTCTCGCCTCTCAGCATGATAAATCTCTCTCGTACATAGTAAAAATAAAATGATAACTTAAATGATAACATCACTCTTCACTAAATCGTATTTGGAGCAGAATAAACAAGGACATTAGAATGAAGCTTCATCGTCTCATTGGCTGAATAAATGCAAAAATGAATTGAACTGTAATATACTATCTAGAAAGTTTTAAAGGTAACAATGGAACTCACTTGGCTTCGATAAAATTTTTGTTTCTGAACGTTGGTGCTTACAAAACTTTATTTGGGTGGAAATTTCGCAATTCTGGTACGATTTCGTAAGTCCAAAATGCCTCATAGTTGATAAATGCCCGTTTATATGCCAATTATTACGCGTTTACTGTCGAATATATTGAGTCGAAGTCGAATTTATGCCGGATTTTCGTGGATATTGCGGCTTGGAAAATTGATTATTCGAGGATATCGCTCATATTCCGATAGATCTATTATGCATTCTTCATTTCATGGATATTACTTAATATAAATTGTAAAATTGCTTTTAAAGTAAAAAATTTTGCAAGATTTTTACAACAATAAAATGTGTAGAGCAAGAATTTTGAAATGCTTATTTCAGTCAGAATTTCGTGTTTCGTTGAAATTTGGCTTGGAATTTCAAGGAATTCTCGCCATTTTATTGAATGAATTGTGGTGAATTATTATTTGATTTAATAAAAAATTCATGAAATGTTTTCGTCTGAGGCGTTAAAACTATACGCATATATAATTATAATGGAATGGTATGGGCATAGAATAGTTTAGTGTGCTATATCTCAATTCGGAGAGAGTCGATGCTGAAGTTCGATTCCCCGCAGGAGTAAACCTGTACAAAAATCCGGATGATGCTGTTGACCCACCTGTATTTCTATCGCCAAGGGGACTCCCTGGCATATTGCCCAATGTGGAGAAAGAGACACATTCGCGCCGCTACGTGAAAATAAAATTTTTGGACCGTAACGAGACATCCCATTGCGCAAGCATTTGCCGAGAATATCTTCATTAATCTAGAAAATCAGAGGTTCGAAGGCAATCAGATACCGCCCTATTCCCACCGTAAACAATATCAACCAACTAGCGTTTCCTTAGTGGCCTTGACTGACAACTTACCGGAAATAAAATTTTCACAATACGGCATGATACGATAGTTTTTCGAAGTTGATTTGAAAATTTTTCGACGATGACGTGGAGGAGTATATTGCAACGGTGAATGTGGTGTATACACGTAATTTTGCGTTTGATGAAAAAATACGTGGTACCGACGTCGGTGAGTAATGATGATGCAATGACGATTATGATATATTTGTACATAACGCGTAATGCGTGTATTTATATATATTGTATGTTGTTGTATGATAATGCCTATATTTCGATGTACTTAAAATAAATGTAGAAAAGTGAGATACGTGATTTTGTACGAGTAACACAATACATATATATGTATATAATCATGATTCTATTATTTTGGACGTGAATTGCGCTAATAGGCTCGTCAATATTGGCAGCTCTGGTTGACGGTCTAATTATTGAATAAGATGGTGATTAATTTTATATCGCACATTTTTTATTTATTTTTATATATTCACCAGAAAACAAACGATTATCATTTTCCTTTATCACTATCACCATCATCTTATACTCGTAACATAGTGCAAAGCGTTGAAAAATAATCATGAAATTGCTTAATAATTCTGGAAGATTTATTAATTTGATATGCATATTATTTTACATATTATTTTATGCAGATATTATTACTATAGTGATTTATTTATCACTTATTCATTACTTTAGCATATATGAGCGAAAATTTTTTCTCTAGATGGAGAAAAGAGAATAGAACTGTGGAGTGGTCTCACGTACGTGGAAAGTTTCTACGTATTCTTTGTATCTAGTTCTTTTTTTTTGAAGAGTCCTCACCATAACTGGTTCACTGGTAAACTCGCTCCACTGGTCGCAATTGAGCACTATGCCAGGGCAATAGAAGTACAAGTGAATCACCAGCATCATCCGGATTTTCGTATAGATTTACTCCTGCAGGGAATCGAATCGAACCTCAGCATGGACGCTCCCAATTGAGCAACAACCCACTGAGCCATTCTTCATTTCATTCTTACTATTACTATATGTTCGTTACTTTAAGCAGTAAATATTCATCGTTAGAATGAATAATATTGTTGAAATTTATGAAGATTTATATATATTAAAATAAATTTTAATACAGTTTATTTTTATTTTTATTTTTTTTACGATAATCTCAACTCAATCGTAATTATCTACTAAATTTAAGCATATAACTAGGAAAGTAGGAAAAGATACTAACGATTTCCCTAATGAAGAATAGCCCAGCGCAATATCTACTAATCTTTTTGATTTTGAGAAACGCAGCGTATACGTCTAACAAAATATTTAGTCGATTGTTTGATGCACCTAAAGTCCTCTTGAGTGGGGCCACAACCCGTAGAAGGTGCGAGGCCTCTACGGATGATGAATGAAACAATCGATGTGTTATACTTTGGAGTCGAGTTGTTTGAAATTGCAGCTCAAAGTGGATGGTAGATTTCATCTAAGGCTAAATATTGCCACGAGGAAATTGTTAGGGGAATTCCGTGGAATTTCTCGAACATCCAATATTCGATAGACATTCTGTGTATATACTTGAATATTGCGGAATCTCGCGATATCTTCCTGGTGCCATTTCGTAAGTCAAATGCCTCATACTCATTTGATTTATACTCCTTATGTCTAAATATTGCAAAATATTCTTTTCTATATATTTGTTGGATTTTTATGTGCAATGAAAAAGACCGAGAAGATTGTTGGCTGCCCAAAAATTGTCGATAAAGCCACAAAATTTTGTTCGAAAAAAGCAAATAAAAATTGTTATTCCTCAGATTTTATGTGAATAAATGCAAAAATGGTGCCTTGTGGCGGTTTGTGAATTAGAGCAGCAAATTTAATATTTTAATAAATAAATATTTTATTTTATTTATTTAAAAATGATAAAATGGAAGAATTCGATGAATTCTTTTAACCGAAAATGAAAGTGATTTTAGTCGATTTTATTTTTTTTATTTATCAATCATTTATCAACAAACAAAAAAGCGATATTTTTTCTTAATTTCCCAAATAATCTTTCGGAAAAAATCACCCGTTTTATTTTATATCGCATAAATTAAAACGATAGCGTAAATGAATTCATTTTTATAATTTTTAGCATCAAATTTTAGAACCGTAAAATTAACAAATCTTTGTATTTTTTTATTGCCTCGTTATTTTAAATTTTTTCTCTGTTCTATACAAATCTCATTGGATTAAATAATCTTTATATAATAACTAAAAAAAAGCTAAAAAATTTAACAACTGAACTTTTATCAGTTCTAATCGATTTTTATCAAAGTCCACTTGACTTTGCTTTATAAAAGATTCCTTTTTTTCAGGCTTTTTAATACTAAAATATTTTGAAAAAGAATAAATTAAATAGGAATGTATAAGATAAAATGTAACATTTGTAAGATGAGAATTTTTCTTGCAACTTTTTTTTTCCTATAAATTCTAATTTTCCTTTAAAAAATTTCAAAATTGTTATTTTTCAATTCTAAAATTTTTTAAGTTTTTTCAAAAAATTTTTGAAAAATTCTTAATTTTTTAAAAAAATTATTTTATAATAGTTTAAGTGCACTAATAATATTATTCGAAATACAATTTTTACGACTTAATTTTTCTCGCTTTCAGATTTCATTACATTTTATTATTGTCGATAGTCACCGTTACCGCTGATTGTCCCCTAAAAGAGTATTTCTAAACGATTCGTTTATATCATCCAATAAATGAAAAGTTTGCTGGCTGCAGCGAGAATTTGTCGCTTAGCAACAATTCCATCAATTTTACTTCAATTTCCGACAAATTTCCACATTTCATCGCTATAAGCTTCTTTATTCCTTCTTTGTTTGGTATTTGTCAGGTATGCTGCACTTTTTCTTAAATGGTATAAGTGATTTTCGCTTATAAGACAGAATTTTATTTGAGACTAACATTTGTATTTGATTAATAGGCTGCCCAACAAGTTGCCATTGGCTATATAATTGGCCATATGGGCTGCCATTATAAAAGAGGTCGAACGAGTTATTCTCGGGAAGCTCTAGCAATATACGATTACCTATATGAGCTACTTGAGATCAATTAATTCAGTTCCAAGTGATATTCGCATTCATTTCTACTTCGTGAATGATATCGTTTATCAGAAAGCTGGATTATTCGAATTGTAGATCAGACTGAAGGCCGAACCTAAGGAAGAAACTACTTAACACACAAATAGACTTTCGATGGCTAACGAAATTCTCGCTCGTTCGGGCTTATATGTCGATGCTTGCAATAGAATTCGCTTACTTCAACCATGTTCATAAAATTTTTTCTACTTTTTTTATTTATTTATTTTCATTTTACTGATTCTTAACGGAATAAATAAAAAGAATAGCAGAAGGTGAACATGAATTATTGTCATGAAAAATTCATGAAAAATGAAGGCCGAGTTACCTCATCTCTAATTTCTCTTCTCAATTATGGCTTTTTGGTGAAAATTTTTTTTATAAAAGAATTAGAAGAAAAATGATAAACACTGATAGGAATGAAATTCAAGAAACTAAAACTAAAAACAATGTATTATGATGGCGCTTTTTGCAGCAGTTTACGAATCATCAACTGAACTCTGTGATAATACAAAAGAATTTGCCAACGATCTGAATGCATTTCAGAATCAACTCGATAAAATTCTCGAAACTTTAGATGAGGTAAAGAAGTTTCTCTTCAATTATAATAATAAACGATAACATCCATTAAATCTTTAAAAAAATTTAATAAAATTGCAATTTAATTATAAAAATAAATTAGAAAAATAAAAAAGCGATAATTTTGATTCATATTGTCTAATTATTAATAATATTATCCTAGTACCAATTTTTGTGGTCAGTTCAAATATTATAAATATACATGAAAGCGCAAATATTTTCATTCTTCACACGTCGACAAAAATTTGATAAAATTTAATATTAAGACAATCATTGAAATAAATATTGAAAAAAAAATTAAAAAAATATTTCGTAAAATAGAAAAAATAATTTTTACAGTTATCAAAACTGGTTGAAAGAGAAAAAGTACGTGCTTTATCCTCAAGGAATATGTTGAAAAGTTCTTCCAGGCAAAAAACAGCAAATATTCAACAATTACAAGTTATTCCTTCCTTATTCACTTATCAACCATAGATCAAACAAAACAAAAACCGTTCATTACCGATTATTTTTGACAAATCCTAATCCTATTTAAATCTATTATCTATAATATAAATTTCAGATCTAACTTAAAATTTCAGATTTTAATCAATGAGCGCCAACTTGAATTAGACCGACTACGCATTGAACTGGAAGCGCTACAAAGAGAAGAAAGTGAACAAAAAGAATATATGCAAAAATTATTTTCAACAACATCTTTTTCGTGATCCTTTTTTTTATTTATAGAAATATATACCTTAAACCCATATGAGAATACCCAGTTGATCTGATGAAATGTTCAATTACAACTTATCGAAGCGGCAATCTTTGTCATTTAATCCGAATTCAATTTCGCGAACTTCAATTTTGATTTTGATTTATGAGTACAAAATATAATAATAAATAATAAACAAATAATATATTCTCGAATAAAGCCAAATGATTTAATATAAATATATATATATATCTGCTATTTATATATAAATGATTTAATATAAATATATAAATATATCTGCTATAAAATCCGTTATCCGTTATATCTGTTACTGTTACTTATAAAATAGATAAATTTTTGTTAAATTTATATAATAGATATATTTATTTTTAATATTTTAGAACTTTTTGAACATTAAATAAAAACACCATCAGAGAACTGAGAGAACATAATAATAAAAACAACAATAATAAAAAATAAAACAATTACTCCGTATATTGCCATTAAAAAAATAAAACAAAAAGAAAATTCATTCATTCAGAACTCGGATACAGCAATAATTTTTAAAGTGCAACAGAATATTCTAATCAATATTCTAAAATGACAGTTGAAAAAGAAAAGAGATTTGAGTGTAAAAAATGTACAAATGGATTAAAAAGGTTTTAAAAAAAATCGGAAAAAAAGAGAGGGAAATATAAATGGCATATAAAATTTATGTAGGGCATTACTAACAAAATGCATCGACATCGAAATATAACATTAAATGACAGCCACCCTTCTGCACTCGAGATGCTTCCAGTAAAGTTTGGTTAGAAGATATTTTGATTAAACGACTATCAGCACTATTCTAAAAAATATGGAAATAGTAGCCTAAAAACTGAACAAACATAGAAACTTAGACATAGAAAACTTATATAGAAACTTACGAGAATATAAAATTGAGATGGGTGCTGAACGCAATATGCTGGATGCGAATGATTCGATAATGAAGATGAGTGACATGAATCCAGAGCTTTGCGTTGATGCATCTTCGATTTTTCTTCAAAATCCCGTAATTCTTCACTCCACATTTGGTACAAATATTCCCCAATGTGATTCACTAAATTCAATAAATTCCTTATTCTCAAGTATAGGAAATAGGAAAATAGGAAAAAATGCTAATCGAACCCTCATTTTGAAAAACAGTGGAAAAAATATTTACACTCACACTAAAGTGCACATGCAAAACATTCAAAGCATTTTGGTTTATTATGCAAATGTTGCGGGAACATGGCAATTTAAAGCACTTATATTGTATTGGTTACTAAATCGCATTTATAGAAGGATTTCACTGTGATGGTAAGTGAAGTAAAGCAAATCGGATCATACTACCAAAAAAAAATCATACATGTTGTATCTCCCTTTGATCTGATATAATGATGGTTCAATAAAAAATGTGGAATATTTATTCGCTCAAAAATAGATTTCATTGGAATAAGTTCAACTTCAAAATCCATCTTCTCATTATAAAACAATGTATCATCCAATTCCATCATCAAAGTATCGTCATCACCCTGAAGAATCTCGCTAGCAAAAAAAAATTCCATATATATAACTAAAATGAATCCAAATACCAAAATTTTTTCATTTTTTCCACTAAAAAATAAAATTTAACTAAACATGATGATAAATGAAATGAAGCGAAAATCTTGAAAAATCTTGAATTAAACATGGAAAATAAATAGTATTAATAATAAATGCATTTTATGCTGGAAATTTTTAGCAGTCCACTGAAGTGCATGGGCTCCATTATTTAAATGCAAAAATAAAATATAAAAAAACAGAAAAATGAGGATATAAAAATATCTTTTTCGTGGTGATAAAATCATAGTTAATACTACTGGGATTTTCTTATGGTTAAATATCAATTCAAAATCATTAAAAATTTGCTTGGTTTTATACCACACCTCCATTCAGGACCATTAAAATACGATTCATTCACCTTCGTTTCAAAGGCTAAGAAATACTGTACAAGCAAGCTAATAGGATTAAATGAAGATTCTGAATACCTTTCTCCTCAAATGAAAGGCTACATTATCATCAGGAGTTGATGGAGAAGACGGGTTCTCTTCTAGCCATTTCTGCATACGGTCCTTAAGGGTAAAGACGTTAACGGGTGATATACATGACTGACGATGATCTTCATTGTTTCGACCCTGTCAAAAATATAGAAAATAAATTTAAAAAAAAACTAAAGAATCGAAAGATAAAAAAATTCTCAAATTCAATTCAAAAAGAAAGAAATGAAACTGAAAAAAAATAATACCGAACGATAAGATCCAGTCGATACCGATGGCACACTATAATCTAAAAATAAATATGAAATAAGATAATTAAATTCGGAAAAGATTAATTTTTTTTTGTATTTTGCCAAATCAAACATAAAATCTAATTTTAAAACAAACAAACAAATTGCTCCGAACCTTCAATTTCATGACTTGGCGCATAGGCGGAAAGTTTGATATTAGAATTCCTTCCTTAAAATGAATTTTAATTTAGTAATTCGACAAAAAATATTTTTAGAAATTAGATATTTAATATAAAGAAAATAAGTAATGAAAACCTTCAGCACAATCACTCAGCGTATCGCAAGCACTTGGGGCACCTTGTCCATCAGCACTAACTTCTTCTAATCTACAAAGGTACGCTAAGGTATATGATAAAAAAATTTTTCAATAAAGAAATTTCTGAAATATTTCGGAAATTTAGAAAATTTTCTAAAAAATCTTAGTACCGATCACTTTCATCATCAATTTCCATCTCCGCTTCTTCACCACTTCCATTTGAATTTGTTTCAGGAGAACTGTTATTAGAGCGATCTTGATGACCAGCCCGTAAACGAACCTTTTTCCCTTAAAATTATATAGATTCGTTCGATATTTTATAGTGAAGGATAATATAAAAGAATATAAGAAAGATAATCAAACCAAAGATAATCAAGCGTTTTGCGCCTTGATGTGGAAATTTCGTGGAAATTGTTGCAAAATTTCTTTTCAAAAAAATTTCTTTCTTTCGTTCTTAAGGAATCGCACAAATTATCACAATAATTTCTTTTTAAATCGAATGAAATAATTAATGAATAATATCTCATAACAAATAAAAGTCCTTTCAGATTTACAATAATCGGTTAAATTTATAATAATAATATTTCCGAATAAAAGAAAATTTTAATTTGGAAAAAATATTAAATATTCCGTTTGGAATGAAAGAACATTGCCATATTTTATGTGGTTTACTAATTTTCTCCATGGAACTTACTTGTATGTGATCCTTGAATTCGTCTACGACGATTGACAGCCTGTGCTCTCAAACCAGCCTGAATTCCTTGCTGGAGAGCACCAACATTACACTGCTGATGAAACATATCCATCGCCTTTTGTTGCATTAAATCATAAGCTTGACGATCCGGCCAAATCTAAAATTTTTTGAAGATTTTTCGAAAAATTTCGTTTGAAAAATAGCTTACCTTATTTATAAGCGCATCTAAATTGGGATCTGGTCTCAAAGACCGTTTTGAAACCAGTTTTTTTCGACAAGTCGGACATTCTTTATTGCCTCGCAATAGGGCTGTTGTTATGCATTCACAACAGAATCGATGAAGGCATTCCTAAAAGAAAGCTTAATAGTTTTTTTTAATAGAATAATAAAAATTTATAAGACAAATATCTGTATCTGAATAAATCACAACAATACCTGAGATCACAATGAGATCAATCCAAATATCAATCAATTAAAAAAGAATTCATTTGAAAAATCTTATGCATCTTATAAAAATCTTAAATCTTGTCTTTAAAATAGTTTTTTGCTCTAATAAAGAATGCTTGAAGCAGTTTTTTACTAAAAGAACTATTTAATTTTTAAAATCACCTTTGTGGCCATCGTTACTGTCAATAAATCGAGACAAATTGGACAACATAACTCAGCTGACAACAAACGTGTACTTATCGTAATTTCTGATGAATCCGTTACCGCTTTATGTGGTTTTCGTTGCTAAAAATGATAAAAATATAAAAATAAATATAGATTTAAAATAAAAATAAATCTAAAAAAATAATAAAAATTTATAAGGCAAATATCTGAATAAATCACAACAAACATAAATGATTTAAGTAATAAAATGATAAAAAATAAAATTTTATAAATTTGAAGAAATTTGCGAGAACATTGAAAATAATCTAAAATAAATTATTAATTAATTTAATTTAAGTTAAAATAAATTTTTAAAAAAAAATTTTTGTTGAGCGGTCGTTTCAAAAAATATTCTCAATTTTTGTGAATTTATTTTTCATTTCTGAATTTTTCATTTCATCACAATTCAGCTAATTTTAATCCTATTTTAATTTTAGTCCTAATTTTTTTAACCAAACAGCGATTAAAATTAAAATAAAATAAAATCGAATCAATTAAATTAAATCAAATCAATCAATTAAATTATATAAATAATATATATATTTCATATATATACATATAGTCATATAATCCGGGAGCGATCCCAAGGCTGGTAAATAAAATATGCTCGCAAGCCAGGGTAATTGTTCGAAACCTATCAAGGGGAATAGCCCTCTGCACGCGCGGCGAGGTATTAGCTGCATCACCGTGGAACGTCAGACGCTTATGGACGTTGTAAGCCAAGCTATCACTGTCCACACCCTGTCTAAGTATCGTGTGGATATCGCTTGCTTGTCGGAGGTCCATCTTCCTCACTTGTCTTCAGCAATTATTAATCCTGGTTCAGAGCAGAGATACTGGCTATATCACTGTGGTGCATCGAATAACTCGGGACGAAAAGGCGTAGGGATTGCCATGTCTGACAAGACCCATTGATGCTTTGATTGAGTGGAACCGGTAAACGACAGTATGGCCCATGCCCGTTTTAAGGGTAAGTTCTGCAATATCACGGTCATAGTGTATGTCTATGCTCCAACTCTGTCGGCAGATGACCGTGATAAAGACAAGTTCTATGCAAAACTTCAACTGCTAACAAAGTCTCTACCGAAATACAACATGATATCTTAATCAGTCGCCGTTGGAAGACTTCCGTACTAGATAGTCGTTCCTATCGCAGAGCTGAAACGGGCAATCTTCATGGATCTGACCATGTTATGGTTCAAGCCAAGATCCGCATAAAATTGACAACTCGCAGAAAACAGCATCCCCCAAGCTCATTCAATTATCTCAATTCGGGGAAAGTAAGCGCATTTCAAATCGAATTATTGAAGCATCTCAATGATACAAATATCAATGAATTTTCTGGAACGGCAAATGAATACTGGTCCAAACTAAAAGAATGTCTCCGAAAATCAACCACTTCCACGCTAGGGCATACTAGTAGGAAGTGCGCTAGTTGGGTATCGGAAGCAACTGTCCAATTGTCTGAAAAAGCTGCCAAAGCACGAATGTCAGGTGATCCTGACTACTGAGTGCTTCGAAGATTTGCAACGAAAGCAGCATGGCAGGACAGAAATCACTATTGGAGTGACATGGCCTCAATGGAGGCGGCGGCTCGATTAGGCGACAGTAGGAAACTATTCTGCCTTCTTCATAAAGCAGTTATGACTCGAGGAATGATCAGTGAAATGGTAAAAGATAACAATGGCGTACTAATCAAAAGTATTAAGGATCGCCTCATAAGAATTCTTTGATGCCAAACTTAACCATGAAGTGCCATCTGTTGCCCCTGATATAGCTGATACGTTTGCCGAAGCATACGCTTGCAATTGCGAGCCTCCAACAGAAGAAGAAATAATTTCAGTTATCCATAAGCTTAAGGCCAACCCACGAGAAGATGGTTTTCGAGCTGAGCTTTTCAAATGTTGTCGTTCTTCATAACGCACCTTCAACAAATGTACTCTCTAGTATGGAAAAAAGAAATATTACCAGATGATTGGAGGAAAGTAATTCTGCTCCCAATTCTCAAGAAAAATGATAGGACATAGTGCGACAATTATTGAGGAATCAGCTTATCAGTCTCAGCGAAAATTTTTGTTTCACTGTTACTCAACAGACTTATTGAAGTACGGGATAGCAGGATGCGCCCTAATCAAGCTGGTTTCAGACCAGGGCACGATTTTGCTGGCCAGATAATCATATCACGAAGAGTGTTGGAACATCGCTTCAGATAATTGCAACAAACTGCCACGTGTTTCATCTTTGCGGCTGCCTTTGATTCAATTGATAGAGCGGCGCTTTGGAGGGTGATGGAACATGACGGTGTTCCAAATAAAATCATAAGGCTCATAAAGGCATTTTATGAGCGCACATCGGCACAGATCTGTGTATGTGGGGATCTGACAGATTCCTTCGAAATAAGGTGTCCGTCAGGGCTTCGTCCTTATCCCCACAATATTCGACTATGCGGTAGACTGGATAATGGACATTACTTTTCGACACTCAAGAGGTATCCGAATTAGTCCAGACCATTGTATCACAGATATTGAATACGCTTACGATGTAGGGCTGCGTCCTTTTTTGACAGTTATAACGAAATGCAAGTAATATTAAATAACGTGTCAAAAACTGAAGCAAGAATAGGACTCAGGATCAATGTAAATAAAACTATAGTCTGTTCGTCTTATGTGCAAGAAGCTGATAAAATGCCTCTTTCTATAAATTCATTGCAGGTATCCGATTTCAAATACCTTGGGTCCACTCTAATACCAAACGGACAGGCAAAAGATAACTCGGATCACGGCAGCTAGAAATGCGTCCTTTCGGTTGACGAAACTTTTAAGGAATCGTCGTGAAATCACCATAAAAACGAAAATCCGCAAAGCGATTCTGCTCCCAATTCCGCATCTATATTGCCGTGATCCGTTCGATCTTACTATATGGTTCTGAAACATGGCCAATGAGAGTGGAGGATATTAAGAAGTTATCTGCCTTTGACCACCCTTGTCTAAGGTACATATTACGGATCCGTCGAGCGGATAAGATGTCACATGATCGCATCCACCTTCGTTCAAATAGCACTTGCATAAATAATGTGATCGCCGCCTTCGCTGGTTAGGGCACATTCTCCGTCGTCCACCACAGGAGTTGATGCATATTTCGTTATTTGCTAAATCGATGGTTGGCATCAAAAGTGAGGTGGGCCAATCAACACCTGGACTGATATGGTGAGAAACGATTTTGAACTTATAGATGGACCAGCAATATATGGACTTAGACGATGGAAAAAGGAATAGCTTCCATTACTGTTGACGATGGCATCAGATCGCGGCGCTTGAAAGTGTCTTACCCTTTTAGCCGTTGGAGCCAGCCTAACCAATAATGATGAGAGCTGTTAGAAGAAAAAGAATTTTAAATAAATTAAAATATTTCGGCTAAAAAACTAACCAAATCATATTCCGAAAGACATAACGCTTTACTAGCATTAACTGTTTCTGCAATGCCATAATTCATCGTAGCAACTTTATCGAAAACGTCTAAAAATATCAAAATTTATTACTATTAATAATAAATAATATATAACTTTTTTCCCTAAGAAAACTCTGATTTTTGATATTATTATGATTATTTGATTTCATTTTACGCTAACTTGTCGGATCGGACAAATTTTGCCATACGATAGAAGTATAGAAATATAAGCATCAATCGGATTATGAAAGATTTACTCGGTAATAGAACTGCAGCACTGGCATTCTGAAATAGGGAGCAACAACTCAATGAACTATTCTACTCCAATATTATAAGTACCAATGTACTCCACAATCAGTATACGCCTCGAAATAAAATATATATACAAATATATATATATATATA